GGCATACTTGTATGAAGGACCTGGATAGTGAAGTTCATGACAGAAAGAAAAATGGAGATGGCAGGGTTGGGGGAGTGGAGAAGGCTGGGGTTTGATGAGTATATGTTTCAGTTTGGGGAAGATGAGAAAGGTCTGGAGATGGATGTAGTGATGGCTGCCTGACTGGAAATACAGTGCCTGAAAACACTTAAAATGGGTCAAAATGCTAAATATTGTATATATTTTGCTGTCATTTAAGAAAAAAGTCCCAAGAGCAAAAAAAATCAAATTGGTACAACTCACCACATGTTGGTGACCAGAACCTGAGGCCACTGGCCAGCTTAGGGATTGATTGCTGTCAGCTGTCCCATGTCCTGATCCAGTCCTGCGTGGCCTCTGGGAGGTTGAGACCTGGTAGGGAGAAGCTGTGGGTGGAGTGGGCATGGTGCCAGCATAGTGACTACTTGGTGGGACCCCAAATCTGGTCCTCTTTCTGCTGAACTAACAAGGTGAGTGAAAAACCTCCAAGGAAGTTAGTTCATTGTGACCCAAGCAAAATGTGGTCAGAAAAAAAAAAAAAAATGGTGTCAGGACCACCGAGAGTCCAGGAGAAATTGCACCTTATAGCCTTTTGTGTTTGTCTCCTTTCACTTACCATAATTTTCCAAGGTTCATCCCTATATCATCAGCTTGTGCCAGTTTTTATCCATTTTCAAGGCTGCATAAAATTCCATATTTATTCATTCACCCCACCCTTTTCTTGGAGGCACCAAGGTTTGAACTCAGGACTTCGTGCTTGCTAGGCAGGCACTCTCACACCAGCAGATCATCCTGGCTGCTGCTTCTTCTTCCTCCTTCCTCCTTTCTTCTCCTCCTTCCTCCTTCCTTCTCCTCCTTCTCCTTCTCCTCCTTCTTTCTTCCTCCTTCCTTTTTTGGTGGTATTGGGGTTTGAACTCAGGTGCTCTTGCCTCTTGAGTCACTCCACTGCTCATTCACCCCTTGATGGGCACCTGGATGGAAATTATTATGAATAATCTGTGAACATGCATGTCCAAGTTTGTTTGTGAACACATTTCTCTCGAGTGTATCCATAGGAGTAGAACTGCTGGGCTGTGTGCTAAGTCTATGTTTAACATTTTTGTCACAGGGTCTTTCCAGAGAGCTGCTAGGCCACCACCCCTAGCATGTGATAACACCCAGACAGTTTGATTATCACCTCTGCACACAGGGAGGGTGGCAGATGGCAGGTTTTGGTCAACATTTATTGTTAGTAGGGAAGATGGAGAGTTTTCGGGCCAGTGTTTTTTGAAGTGGATGTTGACATCTAACTGAGTTGAGAGCTGAGTCTGTTTATGGGAAGGGAATACAGACTTCCCATTTCTTGACACCTCATGTGTCTTCCTTACACAGGGTGTAAGAGTCTTGTTGGTCACTCGTATGTACTTCATGAGAAGATTCCATGCAGTCCTGGGGAACCATGGCTGGTGATGAGTCCTAGTAAACCCAGCCCTTCTCATTTCCTTTCAGATACTTGATCAAATTTTTATCCAAGCTGTCAGAATATCAAGATGTAAACAAGATGACTCCCAGTAACATGGCCATTGTCTTAGGACCTAACCTCCTGTGGCCACAAGCGGAGGGGTGAGTACTGGGAGGAGAGGCCCTAGATCATTACTAGCCTCGGTAGTTTTCAAGTCCTACTCTGGTCACAGCTCAGTTGAGCAAGTACAGCATTCTGCATATCTCTCTCTGAGCTGGTCGTCTCAGAGCTGCAGCTCTAAAGTAAGGGTCCTCTCTGAACTAATGAATTTCAGCATTGGTATGAATGGGAAGTCCACAGGGGCACCGATAGATAGCACAAGCAAGGCAGGCTTCTTCAGGGCTCCCGGACTCTGTCATAAGAGGGAATCTTCCAGCATCCAGATTCAGAGTTAGAAAGAGGTGAGGTAAGACCCTCACCCATGTTGAAATGGGTGTGGCTTGTTCACCTTGGGGTGGTGGCATTCAGAAAGGTGAGGTGTCCTTCCTAAGAGAAATCTAGCTCACAACTTAGGTCTGCAGGGTTCCACTCCAGGGCCCCTTCCCAGGCTCAGTGGCCAGAGAACTATGGCTCTCTCACCCTGCCAGGTCTGATAACCCACCTGCCCTCTGCTCTGTGCTGCAGGAACATCACAGAGATGATGACCACGGTTTCACTGCAGATCGTGGGGATCATCGAGCCCATCATCCAGCATGCGGACTGGTTCTTCCCTGGGGGTAAGTGGTGACATCAGATGGCCTTGGGAGAGGAATCTGGGTGTGGAGGGTAGAGAACAAGTGTGGGGGTGGAGTGTGGGGGAGGTGAATGTAGTCCAGGCATTGGAGGATGGAGTCTGGACGTGGGGACAGTCTTGGCATGTGTACAGAGTCCAAGTGTGGGAGGTGGAGGTGGGAACAGGAAGAGCCCTGTCAGTTTGGCATCTTTGAGACCAAGTATTGCTGCCCCAGGCATGTGTTGGTTTGTTTTTATGCTCACATGCATACACCGTAGATGCACCCAGATATTGGAGTAAAGTCATGGCAGCTTCCCATGCTCTCTTCCTGCCCTAGGGAAGTTGTAGTCTGAAGGTGTCCACTGCCTTTGCTAACCAGGAGCATATAGTCTACTAGTCTAACATCTATTCCATCTTTCTTCATGTCCACAAACCATGGGACGCTGGCGCAGGAGGAGAGGGAGGTCTTTCCTTGGCCTCACAGCCGTCACTTTATAGCTGCCAGGGAGCTGAGCCTGAGGTGGGTGGGGGCTTCAGGGCTCACAGGTCACTTGGGTGCTGTTCTTCTGCTGCCCCAATGGTGTTCTTTGAGTTGCCCCTCAGATGTAAAGATGGGACTCAAAGGTAATGAGAGACTTTTTGGTGGCAGGTTCAAAACTAGGCTCTTAAGGCAGCTTTCTACCAGGGATATTCAGAGATGTTCTGAGCCATGGAAGGGCCTTTGCATGAATATATTCTTCAGTGGTGACAGCTTTAAAGAGATGGCAGGTACATTAAATGCAGTGTTTGCTTAAAAAATAAAAAGGAGAAGGAGAAGAAGTTGGTTGTGTACATTATGTGTCGTAAATGCTGAGGGTGGGCTTCCAGTTATGCAACGACAGCCACTAGCTCGTGGGAGGACAGAATGCTAACAGATCTCTCATCATCAGAGGTGGTCCGTGAGTGATGATCTGACATTAAAGAAATGCGGTTACCTTTCTTGCACCGCATGCATTTTGACTGGAGGCTCTGCAGGACAGACCTCCTGAGGGTCCTGTTAATAACACAAAGCCAGATGGGGGTGGGAAGTCCAAGTGAAATGGTAAAGGAGATGGATTTGAAGGCAGTGATTCCAAGGATTCTGTGGGTGAAGTGATTCGGTGTCATTGCAGACAGACAGACCGAACTGTCTTTCCTAGGAAAGGGTTTGAGAATCTGAGAGCCAGCAAACACCTCAGTGAAATCTCTTACGATCACTGTATGACAATATTATCTTCACAGATTTTAATATTAACTGATTCCATTGGCTAGTACTTCTAAAATAATGTTCAATAACAGTGGTCATAGTGGGCATAGATGTGTTTCCCTGATTTGTCTAGAACTGTTCAGGAATTCCACTCTTATGTCATAAGGTTTGAGAAAGATAATTTTGACTTTTTCAGAAAGTTCCTATCTGTTCCTGATTTTTTGTTGTTGTTGTTGTTGCTGTCTTGTTGTTGTTGTTTGTAGTACTGGGGTTTGAACTCAAAACCTCAGACTTACAAAGCAAGTGTTCTACCACTTGAGTTTTTTCCCCAGTCTTTTTGCTTTTAATTTTGTCTTTTCAGATAGAATCTCACTAACTTTGCCTGAGCACCCTTGGACTACAATCCTCCTATCTCCCTCTGCAGAATAGCTGGGATTATAGGAGTCACCACTTGGCCTGGCTCTGTTCCTGATGCTATCTTATTTTCCTTCTCTTTTTCTTTTTTGTTTTGTCCATACTGGGGGTTGAACTCAGGACCTCACACTTTCTAGGCAGAGGCTCTACCCCATTCCACCTGCTCTACCTTATTTTTCTTTAATCACAAATGGATGTTGCTATATTGAACACCAGTTTAGGTGATCACCTGTGTTCTCTTCTTTGGACTGTTAATGTGGCAACCTGTATTAATAAGCTGAATTAATATCAACAGGTTAGCTGATATAGAACCATGGGGTGAATTTTTCTATGGGTGAATATGGTAGAGAGTCCCTCTTTTGTTCAGGAAGTAACATACCAAGAGATCATGTGTACTGATTGTTTCTTCTCTGCAGAGATAGAGTTCAACATTACAGGCAACTATGGGAGTCCAGTCCACGTGAACCATAATGCCAACTACAGCTCAATGCCCTCCCCAGACATGGACCCCGCTGACCGGCGCCAGCCTGAGCAGGCCCGTCGGCCTCTCAGCGTCGCCACGGATAACATGATGCTGGAGTTTTACAAAAAGGATGGGTACGAACTAGTGTCCCTTCTTCAGTATTGGGGATTGGGAAAGTTTGGGATTGAGAGTGAGATGTAAGAAAACTGGGATTGACAGGAAGGCTGACTCACTGTCAGCATTTAGGGGATTTGTAGCAATGACGCCGTGACCTCGTTCTTGATGGTGTCCTCTGTGCTGTTTGGGACCAGTCTCTTTGGCTTGTTTCCCTTTGGGCCAGAAGGAAGTACACCCTTCTCAGCTGACATGATTGTGATCGCTATTGACTAGTTCTCATCAAAAGAAATCAAAGTGGGTCAATGAGGGGAACTGAAAAAATAGATAAACACTTTATTTGAACTCAAAATGGGTGAATGTGGAACTGAGGATGTAGTTCAGTTGTAGGGCATGTGCTTAGCCTGCACAAGGCCCGGGTTCAATCCCAGAAAAAAAAAAAAGCCCTCCAAACCCAAAATCTGTACATGTGTGTCAATTCCTGACCCAGTAGTGGCTTTACTTTGATTGATCCATTCGTTAGCATTCTTCAGAAGCATTCTGGCATAGACAAAACCTTTGATGTATAGTTTAACATTCCCAGTTTCAGTCTCTATAAGGTAAAGAGAAACCTCAGCCTTGTCCAAGTGTAAATTCTTCTAGGTTTTAAAGGTTTTTTTTCCTTTTATATTTGCCCCATCCCTACATTGGTGCATTTGTTAGGAGACTAAAATGTATCTAACTTAGTGCGTGAGTGTGCATAGAAGGACCCTCTCTGCATGCATTCGATCAGTGTATGTGATATTTAATTACATAATAGGGTTCTTAAACCAAGGAAAAGCGGCATAAGCAGATTTCACAGACCACTGTGATGACTTGTGAGCACAGCTCTGCTGTGGACTGTGAGAGTCCCGCACAGTAACAGCATCACTTGTGCATCTGCAGAGGGAATGGATTGCCTGGGTTGGTCAAGCAAGTCAGCTAAGTAAACTTTGGTTAGGAATTAAAAATCACTAGCATAAAATAAAATTTCACAACTGCTTCTTCTGGATAGATGGAAGCTTGAAGCCCCAAGTGGGAGTGTCTGAAACTCAGGTATTGGGAAGTAAAGCAGGTGCTTTTCCCTTTCCTGAGGGACAACCAGATAACATGAAAGGTCTGCTTGAAAGGCATATGTGCTGAAGGGCTTAGGAGAGGAGGAGGAGACACTCAGAAGTGTGGGGTGGGGGAGGGGAGTCTTACCTTCTGTCCTCCACTTTCTGAATGGGAGTTGGCCTCAGAGGCTAGAGTTGTCATTCTGCTTAGTAAGTCAGTTCCTTTGTACTGTCTGAGCTGAGGGGACACCCTGGAGGGTAAATATCAGAGCAGGCTTGGTTATACACTTGAGATCAAGTGGAGAATTTTCCATTCGTGGCATCATGTTGATGCTCAAAAAGTTTTAGATTTTGGAGCATTTAAGATTTTGGGTTTCCAGATTAAGGATGTTCTTACTGATCTTAGTAAAGGCTGAGGATCTTGTGGACATTGTTCATTCAGTCGTCCCAACAACCCTAAGGGAAAGAGAGAGAGATTATCACTTCCATTTACAGGGATGATCAGAGGTAAGTTATCTGTATCATATAATTAATAATTGAGAAGTCTGGGATTAAAACAAAACACTCTGCTTTCAAAGCCCACTGTGCTGTGGTGAGCAGAAGAAGGTTTGGGGTTACTGTGTCACACATAAACCAGCTCCCTCCAACAAAATGCATTCTCATCTTCTCAGTCTCTAATTTATTATTCCCCATAAAATATGATTTCCTTAGCTAGGCAGACCTCTTCTTAGACACACTTGGTTTTTCTGTCTGTATTAGTTCATTTTCTGTTGCTGTAACAAAAGTCCCAAGGCTAGGAAATACATAAAGAAAAGGGATTTATTTGCTTAAGTTAGGGAGTTTCAAAGACATGGTGCCAGTATCAGCTTGGCTCTAGTAAAGGCCCGCTGGGCTGTGTCACATGGAAGATGGCATCACAGTGGGAGTGCTTGTGAGAGCAAGAGATCACATGGCAAGACAAGAAGTCATAGAGAGGTGCCAGATCAGGCTTGTTCTTTTGTAACAACTCCCCTGTGAGAACCAGGGTCCCACATGAACTGCCTTAATTCCTTCTAAAAGCAGCACCCCCACTGACCCAACCCTCTTCCACTCAGCCCCTTCTCTTAAAGGTTCCACCATTTGTCTACATATCCATGTTGAGGATCAAGCTTCCAACGTAGCTGAGGGGACTTAATCAAACTATATCCAGACCATAGCAACGGCTCTCACACACCCTGCGGCCATCCTATCACCACCCAGCTTCTGCTCAATGGTGTAAGAGTGTGCTGAATGAATTACAGCATCCAACATTGGTAAATTACCCTCATGAAAGTGCTTGAAGCAGAGGGGAGGTATTTGCCTCGGTCCATAGATGAGAAAAGAGCAATATTGAGTCAACAAATTGTTCAACTGGGAGTAGACGCTTGGGTCATTTCAGAACCCATCCTTTGTTTGGTCTCAGGAAAAATGAAAAGTGTGGGTTTTGATGAATCTCACACAAACAGAGAGTGCAAGTGGGGAGGGAAGGGTTACATGGGGCAGAGCACTTCAGTGGGGGTTCTTGAAGACTTGCTACCTGGCCTAGCCATAGGAATTCCAGTGATGGAGGGTGACAACTCTAGATTCCCCATCCCTTGTCTCATCATAAAAGAGGACACTGGGAGATGGGCATTTTAGGCTTGACTCCCCCAATTCTGCAGGTGCCTCACCCCCTGCTACCTTTCTGCCTCCTCACAAGAGGCCCAGTGGAGTCAGAAGAGCTCCACCTATGGGGATCCTCTGGACTCGGTATTGTGCCTCCTTTGTAATGATTTCCCAGCACTTTGTTTCTTAGAGGTTCCTCCTAGCCACTGGTGTCTTGCTTTGTCTTGATTCACCTGTGAAAGATCTGGAAACAGTCCCTCTCTGTTTTCACAAGCAGAAGTAATTGGATATTCATAATGATGACATGACCGTGAAATAGCATCTGCTAGAGTCCGGTTTTGATTAATTCCACTTCCATTTTGCTTGCCTCTTAAGAAAGACAAGCAGCTCCTTGAGTCTGGTTTCTGTTGCTGCTTTATGAGACACAACAGTGGACAGAGACTTGCAAGCCACTGATGTAACCTGGTTGGGTTCCCCCATCTGTGAATGGCTTCCCTTCTTGGCAATATACAGAGTAACTTTATGATTTCTGTCCTTGGGTTGAATTTTATTTAGACATTTGAACATTTGAAGATAACAGTTTACTTCTTTGAAGATAAATAGACTTTTAGGTCCCCAAGAGCATAGCTGCTGCCTTTGTGATTGACTCATCCAGTAAAGATCTATATAAATTTAAAAATGTCTGTGGTCATTGGATGTGTGTTCCCTTTGAACCTGTGATGGTGCCTCTGAGTGGTTAGTCTGCACAGCAGAAGTATACACACAGCTCTTCTTTCTCATTTGCCAGTGATATTTAGTAGGACTCACTCAGGACCTACCCCCCGCCTGAGCTGGCTCCTTCCCGGGGTAAGGAGGATCACCAGGAAGCTTGGGGTCATACATTACTGATGCCAGAAGATACCCTTAGAAAGCACAGGATTCCGTCTCTCACCTCTCCAAGCAGAAGGGAATGGGACAAGGGAGGGAAGGGGTTAGATTTACACCCCTCGGGGCTCATTTTGCTGATCACCACAGGAGACATCTCCATGGCTGCCATGCTCATCACCTTTGCAATCAAGAGGTACCAGTTCCCCCCACCCAAGTGGAATAGTAAGCTTTCTTACTCCCCTTATCCTGATCTATTCCGAAGCCCAAAGAGCCCACTTTAAATTCCAGGGGACACACACTGGACTCTGTTCCAGAGTTTTAAGTGACCTCCATTGGTTTTCTGGACATCCTATATAAGGTGCTTGTTTATTAGTGGAGGGTTCTCCCACCCAAGATGACTTGAAAGCTGGAAAGAGATAGCTTTCCCCACTCCCTCGCCTACAACCAATCTCTATACTTGAAATTTTTTTTCATTTTTAAAAAAAAAATTTCTTCTTAAAAATCTTGCTACAAAATGAATATGACTATTTTCAATGGGCAGGACATCATGGTGTAACAGCTTTGTGTTTCTGACCAGTGTGGGTGACCATTGGTAGAAAGAAGAGAGAATAAGCATGTGATAGCTTCCTACCTCCACCCTGCTGTGCATACAGGTACTAGAGAGATGCTGGCCCGCAGTGTGGGTTTTCCCTGCATAAGTGTTTGTCTCCCTTCATTCTAGAAATAGGAGTCCTTACATTCGTCATTGAAGCCAATGACCAGCTACCTCCTAGATCAGAGGACTGGGAGCTAACCACCTTCTAAGTCCGTGTAACTTAGAAGTGACAGATGCCTACTTTTACCCATTTCTCTGTTCTGTGTGGCTCCCTCTCTACTCCACAGCATTATCAACTCAGCGGCTGCTTTCTGTTCATTTGCATGATTTCCACCTGTACAAATGCAAGAGTCACTTGATGACCAAATGGACTGTAATAATTTTAATGGCACAATAAAAACCCCATCTAGGACCCTGACCTTGGAAAGAGACCCCTTGCAGAAAGACAACCTTTGTGTCCAAAGGAAGGTGTAGATTTGTTGACACTAATATCTGTATGTTTCTGTCCCTGCAGCCTTAGGAAAATCCAAAGGTACAGTATTCTGGTAGCTCCAAGGCCACGTTCAATCTCTTAAACTAAGCGAGCTATGTCGAGTGAGCTCTGTGAGAGGGTGAATGTGCCATGTTTGGTTGCTTGGCCGACTTCTTTGAAGCTGTGTGCCCATCATTCAAATGGAGGGACCAGAGGCATGAGCAGCTCCTTCCCTGCTATATAGATAAGCAGGTGTGGTCCACAGAGGTCCTGAGTTGGCCAGGGTCCCTGGCAGTGGTGGAGCTGGGGCTAGACCCCAAGTTTCAAAAAAGGATATACATGTAGATGTCTGCTGCTGGTTGGTCAGTGTTCTGGTTTGATGCTGTCTCTATCCCTGCCCCACCCACCTCCCTCTCACACAGTGGAGGAGTGTGTGTCCCCTGGCCTCCAGTGAGGCCACACTCAGCTTTTAAGAACAGCCTGGATTCCACACCCAGGATGCTTGTTGGGCCATTACCCTAAGACCAGTTGGCTTTGCCAGAGGTAGAAAGCACAGCTTGTGGACTTACAAGCTGGTGACCTGCCCTGCTGTAGCCTTGACCGTGGAAGGGCTGCTCTGCCGGGCCTGGGCTGCAGGGCTGCATCTTTGCACCCCCAGTAGCCTGGGTGCTGGAGCATCACTGCCCATTCCCTGCACATCGCTTCCTGACCCAGGAGGGTGCTACAGCTGCTGCTCTTCTAACACGGACCTGCTTGAATGTCTCCGCTTCATGGGGGAGGGAGCCTATCACCTGTCACATGTGGGTAAGCAGGTGTCTTTGTGTCCCTCGCCAGCATGGGTGTGAGGGTCATGGACACATCTTGGGTGGCTCGAAGAGGCTCCTCGGCTGGCCGGAAAGCATCCTGCGCCCCACCCTCCATGCAGCCTCCCGCCCCACCTGCTGAGCTGGCCGCGCCCCTTCCATCACCCCTGCTGGAGCAGACCCCAGACAGCCCTGTGGTTCCAGCACTCTCTCCATCAGGCATGGGCCTGCAGCCCACCATTGAGCGCCCCAGGTAAGCACTGGCCACTACCTTCAGGGGTGGGCTGGTGTGTGTGCCGGGGTGGCCAAACTTGCTGCTCCCACTCCAGCCTGCTTGGATTTGGTCACCCTCACCCCTCTTTCTAAGCATTTATGTTTGGTTTTCTGCATCATGCTGGTGACAAATCAGCCATCACAGTGCCCTTGTTTACCATGTAAAAGGCAGGCTTTCCAAAGCACCACATCCCCAAGCAGACATAGAAGGTGGCAGCTTGCAAAAGCAGTGCAGGAACTCTTGTGTTTTATAATTTCCCTGTTTTGAAATTTAGAATGTCACCATTTCTCCCCTCCTCTCATGTGCTTTTAGATTTGTAGTTTTTGCTGCTAAAATGAATGTAACTCAGGAAAGGAATGGGGGTGACAGTCACGTTGGGCTTGGGGACATTTGTAGCATTGCTGCATGGTTGTATTGCTGTTCTTTCAGGGAAGGAAAAAACAGACACTTTTTTTGTTCATTCCATGGAGTTCAGTGAACATTAGCAGAACTTCATCTATCAAAAATAATAAGATACACTTACTGAAGGAGTTCATGGTCCAGTGAGCAACAGGCACTGACAAATAATCACAGTCCTGGGTTATGCCACCCAGGAGCTGAGGGCAAGGACTGGAACCTGGTGAGGTATGTCAGAGGAGGGGCACTTGGAGGTGATAATTGTGTCATGAAGCAGCTTTGTTTCTATCTGTTCTCAAACAGCAATTCAGAGAACTAGAAAAGCTCCTTAAAATTGGATGCTGCAATGCCTTCTGTCAGGAAACACAGTAAGCGACCATGGCCGCTGGGGAAATTTTTGGAGACTTTGAAAAGCTGATCTTTTAACTCAGTCTTTCCCAAACACAACACATACACACACATTCATTCTCTCTCTCTCTCTCTCTTTCTCTCTCTCTCTCTGTCTCTCTCTCTCTGAAGGGATTGAAACCCATTTTTTTTTCTTTATTGAATAGAAGGTATTTTCACTGTGAAATAGGACAGTGACAAAAGGAAAAGGGACAGTTGTAGAGTGGGAAGGGGGACCTGACACCTGGTGTGCTAGGGTTGTTGCTATTGGCTCCAACTCTGAGAGGATGCCCAGTCCAGGCTGGGTATTTGCTGGGCTTCAGGTCTCCTTGAAAAATGCAGACGGGGCAGAGGGAATTTGGTGGAGAACCAGAGGCTGAGAGCAGTAGGCCAGACAGGCTGATAAGGAGGGGAAGGACATGTGGAGAGGAGATTGGCTGAGATGGTGCCTTCATAAGACACTCACTGGATTCTTCTAATTTCCTATTTTATAAAGGAGACTCAGTGCCATAGAGTGCTTGGCATATAAATGATATTTCTTAAAAAAAAAAAAAAAAGACCCTTCTGAATGGATTCTGCCAGGCTCTGAAGGCCTCCAGGAACGTTATGGATAGGTGGCCTTGAGGAGCAAATGGGCAGGGAATGTCACCCACTGGCGCACATTATTGAAATGGTTGCTCTGCACTCCTGCTTTTCCTGGGCACTCAGTTCTGTAGTTTTTCTTTTGTGCTATACCTCTTTTTCTCTCCCTACGTGGATTCCTCCCAGTACAAATGGGTATCCCATTGTTTCATTCTGTTTTCTGCACATTTGCAGCACAAATAGGTTGCTCCAACTGCTGGATTTCTGCCATGGCCACCCTCCCCTGAGGATGACAGGCCTTCCCTTCCCTTCCCAGTCCCAAGTCCTGCCTTATTCTTCCTCCTTCCCAGCCAGACCCAATCTTCATATCCTGCTCCTATGCCCAGCATTAACACTGGCTTCAAACTATGCTTCCTGCTCTTGACCCAGCTCAGTGAATCATTATCCCCAGAACTAACCTATCTTCAGCTGTGCCTTAACCATGCCGCCTTCATCTAGTGTCCCCATAATCGTCCTCTACCCACCTCTCTCACTGGGTCAGCTGTACCTGTGCTGGAGAGAGAGCCAGGCTAAGTAGGTAAATACTCATTTCTGTGCTGGGGGAAGGATATAAGGTGGGAGAGGACAAAGAGAAGAGCTGCTTCCCATAGATAGACATCATGTTCGGCCAAAGGAACCAAAAAGAGTCTGGGACCCCACAGGAAGCAACCTTTTGGTTTTCCTCTTTGTTGTTTTCTCTAGATCATCGTTTTAACTTCTTCTGTATGGTGACAGAGGTGGGTGGAAGGGGAGATAGTTGGTGGGCATTAGTGCCCAGGTGCCTTGTGACCTCGAGCCTGAGGAATGGCACATGGTTTTCTGGGTTTACTTTTCATTAACATAATGGAGAAAGGAAAATTTTCTTTTCTGGTTCCTTTGGATAAAATCACTTTTTTCCTTTGAGAATTCCCTAGGTGCAATGGAAAACTCATCCTGCAAGGGAGAGGAAGTACTACCACATTGACTGTGGTCTTCCCTTCCTTCCTTCCCATGGGAAAATGCCTGCTATCTGAAGACCTTCCTGTCCTAACACAGTTCCATTCGTTCTCTGCATACCCGGTGGGCGTGAGTGCCATATTCTTATTGGCATTTCCTCCACCTTCATATTTGGAGTTTCTAGATAAATATAGGGAATAAATAGTCTGTGGCTGCTTTTGTTGAAGAAGAAACAGCCAGTGTGGAAGGTATAGGTAATAAGACTTTCTACACCACACTATTTAAGGTAGGAAGGATGACAGATGGCTCCCACGACCAGGCACCTTAGCAGATGCACAGGGGGCTACCTGGAGTATATTGTTGAAATGGAGGGTGAGCACCCTATAGGAACATAGGAGCAATAAGTAACGTCTCTTGTGGATGGCATATTGGAGGCTGGCAGGGAGTGATGATCTGCCATGGGTTTGTTGCCCCTGGTCTGTGCAGTAGAATTGAGTAGGGTGTCTCCTAATATGCACTGTATCATAGGAGATGACCTCCAAAAGAGCTAGTAGTAAGGGTGAATACTGATGACCTTGAGTGTCCCTTTGTTGATTCAAGGGGCTCCTCAGGCCAGCATCCCTCACTGACATTGGCCATGATCCCACTCTAAGCTTGAAGGACTGGGACTTGAACTGTCCCACTTGCCAGAACACAGTCTGGGTCTGTGTTGACCCTACTATCTGAGTGGACCCATTCTTGAGTGTGTTGGGCCAGGCGTGATGGAGGTCCTAGGCAATAGCTGGGGAGCTATGGCCACACCTTGAGCACAAGAGACCAAGTCTTCCACCGTGGCTGAGCACACTGACTCTAGGAAGTCCTCTTGGCTCTGCTATACCATGGTGATGGAAGGGACAAGAACACTTTGGTGTTGCATTTTCAAAATATCCTAGAATTCCCATACTGATGACAGGATACAGTGGGGTCATGTCCCTTGAGAACGGAGCTGTGAGGAGGATGCTAGCAGTGAGTGCCAAGCACCACAGAGCTGGGAGTGGAACCATGCCAGCAGAGCTCCAAGAAGGGACAGTCACCTCATAGGGCACCTTTGAAGTCTTTAAGAAGGGACTGAGACCAACCAAAGCTGGTATTGAGTTGAGCAGGACCCACAAGGTATGTAGGATCACAGTCAGCCAGCTGCTTCTGAATTTGACTGAGCTCAGGAGTTCTTTTTTGTCCTGTGTGCTCATCTGTGTTTCAGCTCATCTAAAAGCAAGGAATTGTCTCCAGGATCAGGGCAGAAAGGAAGTCCAGGCTCCAGCCAGGGGACAGCCTGTCCAGGGACACAACCAGGGCCACAACCAGTCACCCCCAGCCAGCCACCTGCAGACCAGAGTCCTCACTCCCTCCGGAAAGGTACGTCTCTTTTCTTTTCTGCTCAGTCTTAGGCTGGCAACGTGTACTCCTGAAGACTCATTTCTCTCATTATCTTGGATATTTGGAAACTACTTTAGTGAAGAATTCTCAGTTCACCAATGTCAAAAGGGATCATTTCTCCATTCCTCAGGCTACTCATCTGAAAAGTGGACTCATGAGGGGCATAGATAGAACAATACTTCCACATAACAAACTATGCCACCAGCCCAGACACCACACCCAGGATACCATGCTTCTTTCATGGACCAGCATTTAAAAAGCTCTGTGGGGTTATCTACACTAGCTCCCTATCCTCTAGTGCCAACTGTGCTTGGCAACAATAGTGGAAGATAGTCCCTCTTCCTCCCAGATCACTTGTACAAGGTGACAGAGAGGAGGGAGTTGGAATTATTTCTCCCTGAGTCTGAACCTTCCATACTTCTGTATGAGAATTCATGAGAATTGCTACACTGACCCATTGCCCAGAGAAAAAGCCAAATGATTCTCTTCAGAGAACCAATCCCCAAAGTTGAAGATACGCTGCAGGTTGAAGTTTCATCAGTGAGGAGTGACGCTGAGTTGTACTTACCTGGGCCTTTTGGATTTGTTTCCACCTCTTTCATCTCTCTACAAAGCCTTTCACTTGTCTGCAATCACTTATCATTTCATTTGTTCTAAATTCAAGCCTTTTGTGTATCTTGGGTTGACTTTAACTCCGGAGCTGTCAGCTAGGGCCAAGTCCATCTCGTACACATACCTTCATGACAGGTCTCTTTCCAACCATGGCAATTCCACTTTCCCTTTCCACCCTGCCCTTTGATCTTATTCACTCTCCCCTTTGTTCCTTATGCATCTACAAATATTTATTATACGCAGAGTTCTGCTTTCCAGAGAGATGTAGCAGTAAAGCAAGGTGCTGTGCTGGAGGATGTTAGGGCATTGTGGGGACATATGGAGTACCTTGTCAAGACTCGAGAGTTAATGTGGGTAACCCAGAGGAAATGGCATCTCGAAGGTTGACTAGGGAGTGGGCCAATGTGGGGGCAGTAGAATTTCATCATTCCAAGGCTTTTCTCTAGCACTGGCTGGCTTTCCTTGCCAGCTGGACAGGATGCTCTTTGGCACATCTCTGTTTACTATCCTTCTCCCCAACCCTTCAAGGTAGGGCTGATGGCTCAGCCATTGTTTTGTCCTGGGCTCCTGTCACAGCCAGTCAGCTTCCTAATATCAGTGGCAGACTGACCCTTTTATAAAGTCACAATTCCAGCATGGTGGAACTGTGCAGGGAATCCAGCCTAGAATGACTCAGGCCCTTTTTTCAAGTGACATTGTGTAGCCCAGAGCTGTCATTGGAAGGCACAGCTTTCTTCTCCATTCCCCATGGCTCTCCACAAATAGCACACATAGCAGTTACATTTTGATCCCTCAGCGTTTTGAGTGACTGCCCACAGTTGAACATCATCATGTTCTAGTTCCTGTCACTACCCAGAGATGGTGTCATCCCAGTCAAGGTGATGTCACTGCATGCTCCCTCTTGCAGCTCATTGAGAAGACATGTTGAAGTGCTGGTACCCAGGGCTCCAGTGCTTTACATCTGATGGAGTAGATCTGCATTAGCCATCCCTGACTATAGGATGTTGTGAGCTACAATAGAGCTGAGAAACTATCCCATACTCAGGAGGTAGATGTGGAAAGTGAAATTGGGAGATTAAGTGTTTTTTCTATAGTGCTTTACATGTATGAGCTTATGTAATCAGTACAGTGCTATGGAGCAAACAGTATTCTTCTCATTGTAAAGAAGAGGTTTATTTCTTCTGTTGTTTATTTTTTAGAAGAGGCTTAAATAAAATTCCCCAGGAATATAGCAGGTAAGTACCAGGATAGAAATTTGAACCCAAGTTGGTAGGACTCTGAAGAGTGTGTGCCTTTCTCATCCACACTGCAGGCTAGAAGAGCTGGGAAAATTCATGGATATCCGTAGAAGAGGTTTTGTTCTATGGATGGACAGTGAGTTGGGGTGGGGGAGTGGGGATGGAGGAATATATCCTGCTGCCTCCCTGTGGACTTAAAAGGTAGTTTCCCACAGCCAACCTTCACTTAATTGACAGGTTAGTGATCATTTTCTCAAAGTGTTTGTCCATCAGTTGGATTGCCTGAATGTTTGATTGTCTCCAGCAATTCATTTTCGATTCAAGGTATCATATACTGGCCACCCTTTAGAGATATTAAATAAATACAAAGAGGAAATGAAGATAGTGAAAAGGAGGCTGGGTCAGTGTACTTTAAAAAATGCAGTAAGGCTGAGTGTGGCTCAGTGACAGAGTGCTTAGAGCGTTTGCCTAGCATACATAAGGCCTGGGACACCATCCCCTGCACTGCAAAAATATAAAAAGAGAGATAAAGGAAAATTGCAGTCATTCTATCCAAGGAAAACAGGGAAGAGAATAACGACATTTGAGCAGAGGCTGGGAATTGGAAGAGGAGGGAGACACAGGGAGGGGGGCATCAGGTGCCAAAACATAATGATGGAGGCATAGTCCCAATGTTCAGTAGCGCAGCAGGGTTACTGTAGTCTATCTACAGCAATTAATTATACATTTCCAAATAGCTAGAGGAGAAAGTTGGAAAGTCCCCAACACATACAAGCTGATTATATTTGAGGAAACAGAAATGCTAATTACTGTGATTTGATCATTATACATTATATTCGTGTATTGAATTACAACACATAAATAAGTACAAACGTCATGTGTCAGTTTACAAAAATAAAGACAGCAAAGCCTGTGAGGCAAGTATGCAGGGTCCAGGCTGGGGACCTAACACAATGGAGGCTTGAGGTCTCTGTGGCAGAGGATTAACCCACACACCACTGTCGTAGCTAGAACCACCAGGCAAGTCCAGCCAAAGGTCAGTTTCCTGTCCTAGGGACTCACCCCTGGGTCACTGTGTCACTGTGACAATTTGATCAGAATTATCTCACATTGCAACTGGTCTCACTGATTAACTCACAGAGTGTGGCAATGGGAAGTCACCCCCACCTATGGGTGGGGTATTCTCCAGGTTGGCTGTGTGTGTGTGTAGATGGTGGCAGGAATTCAGAAGAGAGGAGAGCTAAGTGAACAGATGGAAAGATGAAAACCTGCAGTTCTAGACTCATTTTTAAAATTACTGGCTGCTCTCAGTATAACAGGAGGCCAGGGGCAGTTAGGGTGATAGGGATGGAGGAGGAGGAGGAAGAGGCAACCACTTTGAACATGAGGAGGTGCCAGCAGGGTCATAGCAACAGACTTCACTTAACAGCTTTGTGTTTTTGTTGTGTTTTTGTCTTTCAGTTTCAAAGAAGCTGGCACCAATTCCACCCAAGGTCCCCTTTGGTCAGCCAGGAGCTGTGACTGACCAGTCTGCTGGCCAGCCATCCCCAGTCAGCCTGTCTCCTACTCCCCCAAGCACCCCATCACCCTATGGACTGAGTTACCCTCCCGGGTACTCCTTGGCCTCAGGCCAGCTCTCCCCAGCTGCAGCTCCTCCTCTGGCCTCTCCTTCCATCTTTACAAGCACTTTAGCCAAATCACGGCCCACCCCTAAGCCCCGACAGAGACCCACTCTGCCGCCACCTCAGCCTCCCACGGTCAGCCTCTCAGCCTCGAGTCCACAGTCCACGGAGCACCCTATACTGGATGGCATGTCCCCTGGGGAAAGCATGTCTACAGGTAACCTTGCCAGGGGCTCTCCGGAACCTTTTTATGAACCTTAGCAAAATGTGCCAGGGGAGGGACTGACAATGTCACTGGCAGGTAACAGAGTCCCATGTTCCCTGAGCTTACTGTGCTGGTCCACCAACTGCCTGCAGTTAGGCTCCCCTGAGAACTACCAGCGGCAAGCAGCCCTGGAATCAAGCTGTTCTCTGGGGGCTTCTCATGGGATTTCTTCCTGTCAGACCCACTGGCCCAAGGTTCTGTTTCTGCTCTGAATTTTGGGGTTAAGCTTCTAGTCCTGTGGAGTGGGGCTAGAGAAGAACCTGGTTATGATCACAGAACAACTGGCATCAAAATGCAGGGGACGAGCTGGTGTCCCTAGGATACATGCCTCAGCAGCGGAGCAGGTACAAATGTTGATCTGAATAAGAGGAATTAAAAACCAAAGATATTTTCTCCTAATAGTAAAATCAGCTTTGCTAGAAAAATGTATTTCTAGATATGTATGTAGAGAGCAGTTGCTTTCAGAAAAGACACACATCTCATCTCCCCATCTCCCTGCCACAATTCCTCCAGCAGTTGATTAGGCAAGCCTACAACTACTTAACTGACTTTTGCTCTAAATTTACAAACAAAAATGAAGCCGTCTTCCCTCCTTCCAAAAATGTGTACACATAAAGTCATACATGAACTCACACTCCTAACCACATTTAGCAAACACCATTCATTGTGGAAGAAATGGGACATTTTTGAAATGTTTTCCCAGACACTTTGACCACCTAAGATTATAATGTCAGGGCAGATCTGTGGAGGCTGCTGAAGCCCTTGGAGCATTTTCCTTGTTCAGGGAGACAGGCAAAGTGTCGGGCTGCATTTTGGAATAGAGGCAGCCCATTGCACCACAGGGCAGAGCCTGAGCACTTCTGTTGAGTGTTGTCCCAAATAGCAGATGAGGCTGCTTGCCATGGAATAAACATACATACTACATGCCTGCACATAGAATAACACCCCACACATAAACACAGAGCACATATATGCTGCACACATGTACATACATGTACCTCACACACTGGGGTAACTTAGTGGTAGAAAAAGTGCTGGAATTCAGACACACACACACACACGCCCCATACACACACAAATTGCTCATATCCCACATATACACATATCACCTACCTCACAGAAAACACGGTACTAGAGCCTGGGGTGCACTGGGTTCTTCGTGGGTACTGCCCTCTTTCCCCCTTGTCCTCCCAAAAGAAGACATTTTCTTCTCCAGGTAGATGGCAGCTATGAGCCAGTGAGGCTTGGCTCCTTACTGCTGATGAAAACACTAGTGTCAAGTTTGCAAGCATTTGTGGTGGGTCAGGAGATTTCAGTATTATAGGGAAGAGCCACCTGCTGATTTGGTTTCTGTTTTTGAATGTGATTGATGTGGAAGGGACAGCTACTATCATCTACCCCGAGGATTATTAAACAGTTAAGGAAATTCCTCCCTGAGAAATGCAGTGAGCACCCCTCCCGCCTCAAGCTCTCCCCGGTGATGCAGGTTTTCTGGGTGAGCCATGACAGAAGGTCCAGGCCTGCTGCTCTTTGGAAGGGAACACCTGCCCCAGGGGCTTGCAGTAGCACAGATACCCCATGGGAAGGACACAAGGTGTGGCCTACATTGTGAGCCTTGGGCTAAGCAAGTGTCACTTTTGGAGACAGGAAAGGAAGAATGAGAGAAGAAATTTGGGTGCTAAGGTGGGCAACAGAAAGCAAGGAGGAACAGTGTCCTGTGACTCATGAGGATGGAATGATTCACTTTGTCGCAGTCTTGAGATCTGCTGTCAGACTTACATCCTGTTTCGTTTTAATGTTCAGCAGACTGTTGTTTTGTCCCGTAGGTACAGGTCTCTAAGCCAGTATAGAATCAGTAATGATTTGGTGTGGCCCACCTGGGACTGTGGCACCGGGCAGTGTTTTTGTTACATCCATGTTTTGTCATGTTTATTCCTCTCTCCGAATCCTATCATTGTGTTCTTGCAGCTGTGTGACATGAGTGACGCAGTGTTGGATACGTGTGAGGGGGATTTTCAGGGTAAGCTGGACCCGGCTCACCTCGCTTCACTCCCCCCAGCCAGCCCGGCCAGCTGCCCGGCTGCCACCTGCCTGCCAGCCCCACCAGCGCCTTCCTCTGTCTGCATGTGGTCCAGACCAACCAACCGCATGCCTGCTTCACTTTTGCCGGCCTTTCCTAGCCTGGGTAGGGACCATCTGAGCCAGGGGCCTCCTTGGCATTTTGAGGTCACTGGTCTTTCTCTCTTTCCTTTAGAAGGAGCTGGGGCGAAACCTGGGCATAGGGTCTTAGCTCTCCTTTCCTACCTCTTCTTGATGCAGCCACCTAGCTGCAGCTTCCCCTCTACTTCAGGTTTAGCGTTTACACAAGTAACAGATCTGCTTTTGTACCCAGTGTCCTAGGAACATTCCCGGCACACCTTTGTTTAGGAGGGTGTCCCCATGGGAGAACTCACGAGGTGCAGCTGAGCACAGGGGCCACCCCCGCCAGGGACTGTAGCTCTGAGCAGACCTCCACCAGCAGACTCAAATGCTAACACCCATTTTCCAACGGAAACAGCTGACAAATCCTGGAGAAACCATGTACAGGTGTAGACCTCTTCCTCTCCCACCCCAGTGATAATGGCCACTCGATCCTTTGCTGCAGCTCAAAAAACAAAAAATTTAGGGAGTGTTTTTATCAGCACCTGCTTGGTCTGCACCCTCCTTATAAAGAGTAGCTACTCAAAACTCAAACTGAGGCCACAGCATGAAAGAAGCCAGAAGGAACGAAGTTCTGTTTTTGCCTTAGTAAGAAACAGGGGCCAGAGTTAACCCAGGGTCCTCTTCCCATTGTACCCATGGTCCTGCAGACTAGCGATTGGGCGTCTGCTGCTCAGATAGGTCTCCTAACAGATGCTCCCGAACTGCCATGAAACAAAAAACCATAGCTTCCCTCTCCACAGGAATGCCAGTGAGGGCATCCTCCATAAAATCCTGCTCCCTTGGTGAGTGACCCTTGTCCCTCAGGAGTCTCGAGAGAGAAGCCAGTGGGTGGGAGAGCTCCCATAAGGCCCTTGTGCCAGGCTGTGCAGTGTCTCATGCCATCTCTGAATTGTCATGTCTTCACAACTCATTGCCCCATCACTCCCATTTGACTACTGAGGTAAAGGGAAGCTAAGAGCTTGTCTAAGGTCATAATCCTGTTTCAAGAGAGGTCCAAATAGAAAGTAGGTCCTGTGATCTTTCCAAACAGGGGACCCTGCCCAATGGGGTGGCCCAGACTGGATCACCTCACATCCAAGCAAAGAGATAGCAGTAGTCTACATTTGTCCCACGAGGCACAAGAGCCACCTGCTGCAGGAGTGACACCAACTAAGCCAGGTCTCAAACTCCCAAATCTGTCCCTCTATCAGACAGCAAGTCAAAGGCAGGCTGGAATGTTTTGAGGACTGACTGTGGGGTATGGTAAAGGAGGAGCTTTGTCCCAGAGCTTCCATGTCTGTATAATGTTTTTTGGGAGTGTCCAAGTGTATGTCTGTACACTCAGTATGGTATTCCGCAGTATGAACATTTGTTTTACAAAAAAAGAAAAGACAAAACTTCACCTTAAAGACTGGACCAGGGCCATGTTCCTACAGGTTCAAATTCCCTGTCACTCGGAGTGCAGCTTCTAGTATAGGTTGACAAACAGGCTAAGTGAAGGCCAGAAACTAGGCAAAGCAGGGGGAATAACATGGCTGTGCGTAAAGATTCCAGAGGCCCCATCACATCCCAGCTCACCTCCTGTAGCCCTGTTAGCAAGCTGGACCCTCCTGGGTCTTCCTGGCTGCAGCCACAGCTGGCCACTTTGAGTGTGCTATGTCATACAGGCTCTGTATCCTCAGAAGCCTTTGGGACTTATGTTTGCAACTCACAGATACCCTCAAAACCTGACCCCTGTGACTTCTGGCTTTAAGATGCCATCAAGAGGGTTTCCTGCAATCAGGGAACTAGTGGTTTATTCTACCTTCTGCCAGCATACTGAGGAAGACCTTCCACTCTGCCCCCATGAGCCATCCCAACTGCAGCTGTTCTTAGGGTGAGGACATGGACTTAGGCCTCTCCATTTATTCCTATCTCATGCCCTCCCTTCCTGCAGACTCTAGGGAAGCTTGAAAAAAAAATCCCAAAAGATGTTACTGGGATCTGCCCAAGAGCACCCTGCTTATCAGAGGCTGAGCTGTCCTGATTGTCCTGAGTGACTGGTAGAATCTGGATGCATTGGTCCCAGCAGCCTTCAAGGTGGAGCAAAGCAGACCCAACCATATCAAGTAACCAATGTCTAAACCATCCATCCCTAGACTAGCCAAGCCACCCCAGCTTCCTACAACTGACTATATTTGCCTGCAATTAGCCCCTCTTGAGCAGAAGCCCTCTTCACTTTCCTCTCTGCTGACTTGCAGATCTTGTCCACTTTGATATCCCCTCCATCCACATAGAACTGGGGTCGACACTTCGCCTGAGCCCCCTGGAGCACGCACGGCGACACTCAGTGACTGACAAGAGGGACTCAGAGGAAGAGTCTGAGAGCACGGCCCTCTGATACAGCCCTGCCCTGACATGTGTACATACATACATGGACCCCAGGGACACGCCGCCAGGAGCAGCGTCCCTGAGCTTGCCAAGGATTCTCCATTGGCTCTTTGCTATCACTTCCAACGCCAGGTTGGAGTTTGGCAAGAGTGCGATCTTCTGTCCACGTGGCGAATGTTGGTGCAGATTTTGTTTGTTCTTTTTGGGTGGTGACTTCAGCCTTTTGTTTGACCTTTGCCTTTTGACTTTGTGCCTATTTGCATCCATCTTCAGCCTCCATGCCAAGCAACACCCACCTCTCCATCCAAGGCCTTGTCAGATCCTTGGCAAGGTGGAGATGCAGGGAAGGGTTATCTGTTCCTTGACTGGGATACCTGATGTCAGGTCCTGCAGCATCAGTGTAACAGCCACATAGGGGAAGCAGGACTAGGGATGGCAGGGTTTCATTCACAGCTAGACTAGGCTGGAACTGCAAATCCTGGAAACTGACCTTTGCCTGCAGCTCAGGAAGGCTGGCCCATGGAAAACCTTTTAGGATTCCATTAATTACAGTCCTGCAAAGTAAGTGACTGAAAACATTCACTTCCTGGCAGTTTTATTATCGCCCCCATCCCGTGTGACTGAAAGCCCCCTTTTCTTGTTATTTTATACTTCTGAATTGAAAAGAGGGGCTTGAGCATGTCTGGAGGACCTCAGGTTGCTCCCCACACTCCCCAAACACAGTACCTGTCAGAGCAATTCTGCCCATCCAGGCACCCGACACCTAGGTGTGGGGGCCTGAAGCCCACCTCTTCCTTCTAGTGGTTACAGCTGACTAGCAATAATTCTGTTCCCCAAAGCAGGTCGAGGAAAGTGGACCCAGCCTGCAGAGTGGCCTGCTTTGCTCACCAGCATTCACTGCTCATCCTTCTCACAAAGTCCCACCCACCCTTGGGGGGAGGGAGTCACCTATTCACACTTCAGTATCAAAGGAGTGAGAAAGAGACCTGGGCCATGCATGCAAAGTCCAAGTTTAAAGTTTTATCCTTTTAAAATAGATATAATATACCTATACATGATATAATATTTGTATATATGAAATCTATATTTGTTTAATTTGAGCCATTCAATCTAAACCAATGTACAGGTGTACAATGAAAAATTTAAATGCTTAGTTATTTTTCCCAACAGTGTAAAGTCACCCCTCTCTGAGAGTGGGATTTGTGGTTTTGATGTTGCAGCTTTGCTCAGTTCCTGGCAAGGGCAGTTCAATCCCCAATTTGTATCAGAGCCCAGGGTGGTGGTGGGGCGGGGGGTTGAAGGTTATCTTTAAATACATGTATAAATTGTTGTTGAAAGTAATGTTATTAAAATAGCTTTACTACCCCCCTGAGCTTGGTGTGTGTCTCACATTACTAATACAGCTGTGGGGCAGTTACTAATAACCTTCCGTGTACAGCACCAGGGAAGCCGATCCTTGCTCTCATCTCTCTCATCCCCTTGTTTTTAAGAGTTCTTAGCGCTCACTACTGGCTAGGGAGAATATATAAATACTAGATTTAGTTCTGAACATTCTCTTGAGTTTCAAATCCCACCAAGGAGGGCAAATACAGCCAGCTCCATGTGGCATTTCTCAATACTTTGAAGGGCAAAGATTGATTCTGTTATCATAGGATAAGCAAGGACAAATCAATTATCTTTACTTTACAACAGTGAGAAGGCTTGTGCCTAGACACCTGCCCTGGCCAGCTGTCACTAAATACATGAAGCCATAGCCATGCTGGGCATCTGTTAAGATTCGGCTGTTGGGCTGGGGCACAGCTCAAGTGATAAAGCACTACTGCAGGTGGTTGGCCCATTTCAAGTTCCAAAACCAAAAAGAATCAGGAATTGGAATTGGCTATTGAGAGGTGCTGGCTCCTAGGAACAGGCTCCATAGGCCTCAGCCGCCACTGGAGCCTTCCTGGGCAGAGTACCAGCACACAGAGGACCCTGCTCTGAAGCAGCACCAGGATGAAGTGAAAAACTCAGGATTCCAAACTCCAGCTTTATTGCATCTGATTCTTTGGAAATATTAATCCTTGAGTCTGGGACACTTAGCCCAATGTTCCCTGCTCAACTTATCTCCAACATGCACAGGAAACTGTGCTTGAAGAGGCAAGGGATGCTGCCCATGTTTCCAGGTGACATCTTTAATGACTGACTTGTGCTGGAATTATAGTCACCCCTGCTGTTTTGCAATAAGTAGCCCTGTCTGTGCCAGGCACCAGTCATAGGCAGTGTCTGGCAGACTGGTACTAACCCCAGAGCCCAAGCCACAGCAGGACTCCATACTCTCGTGCCAAGTTGTTGCCTCCTAGCTGGATGGTCCTATTCATCTCCCACCAGGATGACGAGAGCAGACATGGGCACTGTGCAGGGCAGAAGATGGAAACAGCAGCCTTGAGTTCAGGGTAGCTGTAGACCTTTACTGAGCTTTGACCTTCTTGCTCTGTGGGCTCTGTGGTCCATCCATGTGAGCTCGTTTCTGCTGTGGCTCTCTGACCTCTGGGCTGCCCGCTTGCTCCTGGGAGAGGAGAGCTGCTCGCACCAGCCGTAGCTCCCGCCTCTCCCTGCGCTCCTCCATCTCCTCAATGTCACCAGCAAACAAGGCTTTCAGTGGGGGAATCAGCTTGGGCACTGTTGGAAAGTCTCCAAAGCAGACCTTGAAGGCCAGACAACACAGGGACACACTCAGAGGAGCAGGGTGGAGGACAGGAGCTAGGAGTGCTTAGACCTGTGCTCATACCACAGAGACCACCTCCCCCTCCTTACACATGTGTAAGCTAAGCTAAGCAATTACAGCTTTAAAGAAAAAGAATGCCATTGCGGGCACTGGGGGAGGCACAAGGCAGCCCTAACAAAGAAAGCACCCCACTCCCGGGTAAAGGCAGCAAAGCCAAATGGGCCTCAGGAAAGGTAAAGGAAAGTTGTCCGGACTCTTACACCAAGCTCCTAAAATCCAAAGCCTCACTCACATCTTGCCCCTTCATTATGGAAGGCTGAAGGGGCAGACGTGCTCAAGCACTCATGTCTCACAGACGTGAGAGACCTGTCTCACAGGTCTGTGCTGAGGCTGCAGTTAATATGGGAATAGTCCAGACCCAAGAGCATCGGGAATTTCCAGCGGACCTGAGACCAACATCCAGAAGGCCCTGTGTCCTCACCATCAGACCAGTGCAATTTACTACTGTAAATTGTGATGGACAGAGATCCTCTTTCCTGAGTGACCCCAGGCCAGAAGGGAAGTAAAAAGTGTGGCCCATCTCCCTGATGCCTCCCTACCCCTCACACAGAGTGACATACAGACCTTCATGTGGTCAAAGGCAATTCCCACTTTCTCATTGAAGTCGGGGCTGAAGAGGGGGATCTTGGCATAACGTTGGCTGAAGTGGTTCAGCATGATGAACTCTGCATTCATCCGCATCCCCACACCAATAGCTTGGGAGGTGGTGCTGCAGGCGGAGAACAAAGCAGAGAGAAGCCACAGGGCAAGAGTTCAAAGCAGAGGACTGGCCCAGACCTTGGCCTTCACACTGCTGAGGAACCCAGGGACAGCCAATGGATGTCCTTACTGGCTCCTCTTCAGCCAATACAGACACTACTTAGGGCCAGAGTCTTCCTACACTTCCTGAATGAGGGCCTACAGTCACCAATGGCTGTCAGCCTTGAGTCAGGGGCGTTTCTGAGAAAATCCCCAGGGATTACTTGGTACTAGGTGCTCTTTGCTAGAAATAGCCCCCTATTCAGCCCAAAAACCCCCACCTTTCCCTTAAATGACTTATACTTTATTCCTTCTCATTGTTTTAAAACACCATGCCTTACTGTAGAAAACTGCAAAAACAGAGGCAGAGGGTCCATGAGACCTACTGTGGGCTCAGAAAGGCCCATAGCCAGCTTGCCATCCCCATGTCACTGGAGGCACTATCTTTCTCCAGTGAAAGTCCCAAGACTGCCCAGGTTTCACCTAACAGAGGAATAAGGGACCTTGCTACCTGTGTGTCTTTTCTATGGCTTCCTCTTCTAATCCATCCTCCAGAGTAGCTTCATGTATCAGGAGTGTGGCATCTTTCCCTGAAGAGAAAAACAGGCATCAAGACACAGCCGTCTGGGTGAGCAGCATGTGGCCTTGAAATCCCCCGCTATGTCCTGACCCAAACACTCAGCTTCTTTGACCAGAGACTGTCAGTGTGGGAACCAGCCTGCTGTCTCTGCGAGGTGCCCTGTGTGCTCACCTACATGTACCTTCCATGGGACCTTGGTGAGGCTCACCTCTTCCTCTACTCACCCATCTGGACCAGAGCCTCACAGGGCATGGTATCCCCTGAATAGACCACTTTCCAGCCAGACGTGTGCACCAGTGCACAGCCAAAAGCATGCTTGCAGTGCCGGACTAAGCAGGTCTGAAACTGAAGAAGCAGGGCTAGAGGGCTGGAGCCCTGACCCCCCACCCACTCTTCTCAGAGATGTGGCTGAGCCCCTTACCTCTTCCAAGTCACATGTTTTTAACAGTGATCTGATCAGCCTTTCAACCACGGGATCAGAGACCTTGGCCCCTTGACTAAGGCACTTCGCAGGAATCATACTGCAAGAAAAGAAAACATTTACAAATTATAATGAACATTTTTAACAACTGATTTAACAAGTGCAATCAAAATTCAGGTTTTCAGATGGACAACTTCCAAACATTCTTATGAAAAAACACATTTAAATCATAGTCATTACGGTGGAGAAACAGTAATCAAGAATAGCCAAGCCCCTTCTCCCCCAAGTTCAATGTAAAAAATCGAAATAGGCAAATGCTCCCCTTGGTCCAAGCAAATGGGCTGCTTCCCTGTGAGGTGGAAATGGGGCCAATTCCCTACTGTCCAGCCATCTGGTGTGGACAGTGACTGTTCTAGCTAGTATTTGGATGCTTGGTCTTAAACTGTCCCAAGGAGAAATACTGGCCAAAGCCTAGAAAGTAGTACAGAACTGAAGTGAAGGCTGAAAACAAATGCTTCAGAGAAAGGCCAGTGTTAAGAGCAGGACTGTCAGGAGTATCGCTAACTGCCCTGGGGTAGACTCTGAGCTGTGGAAGAGAGCAGCAGTGGAAGGACATTCACCTGATGTGGTGCAGAACCTCCTGGCACTGGTTGTGGTACTGGTGCAGCCAAGGCCTGAGCTGGGTGGGGGCCACCACCAGCAGAGGGAGAAAAGGCTTCCCCAGAGATGCCTGTAACAAGATCCCAGTGCAGTCACCAGGGAAGTTCTCAGTCACAACAGTTTGGAGTGGCAGGCATGGTTGATGATGTATAAACCGATAAAAATCAGTGTCAACCAAGTGCAGCACTTACCAAGGCACGCTCTCTCTGCAGCAGGATGTTCAGCAAGCCCTGCAAAGGAAAGACGTGCATTAGCCAGGTCGGCGCTCAGCTGTACTCTTCCTACAGGAAGGTTCTGGAGTTGTCCTCTCAGACACTCCTAGCTCTATAAACCCTCAGCCCTCTCATACTGTGGCAGTAGGATGTGACACATGCTGACCCATGGTTGTGAAATGTTACAAGTATGAAACGTGACCTGTGTAAGAAAGAGGGCAATGGCTGGGAACAGGATGCCCTAGAACACCAAAGCTAGGACCACACAGCCATATTTCACAGCCTGGCCAGTCTCCTCTGGGCAGGCTTTTTGAGGAGACAAGAGTCAAGAACAGCTGAGTGAAACCAAAACCCATTACGTACAGCTACGTGATAAAAGCAAACAGAAAGACAAGGCTCTCAGTGAGCATTGGTGGAGCCAGGGTTGGGGGGTGGGGCACGATGTAAAATATTTTTCCTCTCGAGTTGAGTGACAAAAACCCCTGGCCAAGTATGATAACGGGAGGAAAGTGGCCCAAAGTGCAAACTATAGGAAGTAGCACCTCCCCATAGGCTAAAGCTCTGGGGTCCTGCCTCACACTCACTGTATGGTGGTCTGCATGTAGGTGGGACACAAACACGGCCACAAGGTTCCCCAGAATCTGGTCCACTTGTTCTCCATAATGACGGCACAGCTGCCCAAATGTGCCTTCACCACAATCCAGTAGCAGAGACTTCTCAGGGCTGCAGGAGACAGAGCGACTCACCAACAGGAAAGGCTTCTGACAGTTTACAAAATGATATTCACTTTAGCAGAGAACAGGCAGCAGCTGTGGAAAGTTCTACTCCTCTATAACCTCCCTCACCTTTATCTTGAGGAGCTTATATTTAAAAAAAAAATTAGTTTAACCATAAAGCTAACTTTAGATGAGTCTGTCTTCTCTAAAGAAAGAATGATCCATGAATTCTGAAGCCCTCTAGGCACACAGACTTACACAATGCAGGCTAGGTAGACCAGGAGAGCAAGCACACTTAATCCACACAGTGACTGACCATTCTGACAAAGGGAACAACACCCTCTGCTGAGAATGCCAGGCAGAGACAGCTATGTCATGTGACACTGTTCCTAGTTCCAGTTGCCACATGATTTCCTCCCCTTTCCAAGGGGTCCTGGTTTTCTCAGCACATATCCTCAAAGCCGTCTGGCATAGGACGGGCTGCATGTGCTTCCTCTGCAGAGGCAGTTAGTGTGGACTCTGGGTTCCACTCAGAGCTGTGGACTTGACAGGTCTCAGGCAGGGCCCACAAAGCCTGATTCTGACAGTGCCATGGGCAGTTCTGACGTGCAGTCCATTTCAGAGGCTATGCTCATAGGTGGAGACAATGGTGTACCCTCTGGCCTTCTTACTTCTGCAAGGGAAGCCATGAGGATGGGGAGGACTGCACCTACTTGCAGAGTGAGATGCCTTCACACTAAGATACCACCTTCTTTGGAAAAGCCCATAATGGGATGGGAGGGCAAGTGTCAACCATCCCTTCCATTTAACTTCTGCAAGTTCAAGGACCAGGCTCAGTGTCTGGGGGATCAGAAACCAAAGAAACCCCTGGCAGAGGCCAGCTCACTCTAAGTTGCTTTATTTATAGAGCGCTTATGCTCTAGGTGTGCACATATCTGACCCCGGGGGCATCTTGCCCTTGTTGCAGTACTGATCATCCACCACTAGCATCTAGATGACAGCAAAGTAGAACTAACCTGGCTCCTCACAATCTTACTTTTCTCACATACGTATGTACAGAGGTGCCATGGATATTTTACACCACTTTCTCTGCAGGTAAATGACCCCACGCAAACCTCCAGGTCAAAGGGAACCCAAAAGATGGGCTGAACATAAAGCTACAAAACCCAAATGCTTTAATATACACCAGCAATCAGGAGTTAGAGGACAAGATGACGCAGTTAAGACACCAATTCAAATTTCAGCCTTGCTTCTTATTAGCTATGGAACTGGAGCAAGTAACTTCTGTGAACATCAGTTCATCAATAAAACTGGTATTCACTACTTCATCAGATTAGTTTGGAAATTAAGTGAGATGATTTCTTAGCAAAGTGCACACCATACAGCAATATCAACTCTTTTTATTAAAATTCATAATAGGATGAGTTGGGGTAATTTCCAGAAATAAAAGTTAGTTGTTGAAGCTACAAAGTGTAGTAAGGCCCAATACTCATCCTCTGAGACACTGGACAAGATGACAAGTGTACAGACTTTATGATGCTATTTTCAAATTAGCTTGGGGAGTGGAGCTCACCAAAACTTTCATTTGAAAGATAAGGGGGCTCTTTGATGGAAGATGTTTTCTGGGGAAGTAGTAATACCTGATGTTGACAAGTGTGGAGCTGACATTTCGAATCTTCATTGGGATGGCAGACCCTGTACCAAGGAAGATAATTTCTGGATAGTTGCTTCTTTTCTCTGGAAAATATATGTAAAACAGTCCATTTATTTGGATCAAAGGTGACCCAGCATTCACCCTTGGCATAGGTAAGCAACACAGTCAAGCTCAGCATCCCAGGATGGGCACTGATGGACCCTGGCCCCTCCCTCAACCAACTTTCTCATCCCTGTGACACCTGCAGGCTCTTAGTAAATAAAGAAAGGGCACCTAAGAGGGAGAGAAAATAAATTGTACAGTCCTTTCTTAAAAAAAGAAGAGAAAAAAAAAAAAGACCCAGTCTAATTCTGTCTGTCCCAGATGGCAGCTAGAGGGAGGAAGCAGAAAGCATGCCTCCTAAAGTAAAATCTTGGAGAGAAGCTGGAGATACACCTCACAGGAAAAACCACCAAGAAGAGGCAAAACTTTGACTCCTCCACACCTCCAGCCTGCACATAGCATCTTCACTTCACGTTAAACAGAGAAACCAGGAGGACTCCCCCACCGCCATCAGACGGCAGCACCCAGATGGCTTGGGAAGACGCAGACCACAAGGTTAGCTAAGCAGCATGTGGTAAATCCCACAGACAACCCTGGGCAAGATCCCACCCAGGGAAAAAAGAAAAAAAAAAACCTGAATAATAAGCAATAACAACAAAAAAGACAGGTAGCAAAGAGGGCAGGGCATCCTGAGCGCCAAAGAGGAGGGGAGGGGAAATCCCTCACAACAAGTGGGCTGGAGAAGGCAACAGTGGCAGCACACACCCAGCAACCAGGAGCGGGAAAGCTTGTAAAAGTGGCGGTGGGAGGAAAACTCCACAGGAGAGGGGGTAAGACCCACTTCCCATGTAAACTGTAAATAAACACACACGCCTGAGAAAGCTGGAGCAGTGTCACCTCCCCCAGTGTGCTTAGAAAGGAGAAAGTTTGTAGAGGTGGTGGTCACTCCCAAGAGAACTCTAAGTAAACAAAGTCTGAGGGGCTAGGTGAGTGTTAAGCTCACTCCTGAGATCTGCATAAATAAAGCCTCCAGCAACAGCAGGCTGACAGCAGTGGGCAGGTGAGCCACAGCCTCAGATAGCCATTCACAGAACTGTCTCCAGACTTTTTTTTTCTCCCTAACTTTGATGAGACAACAACTGAAGAACTACACCTGCATGCTTAAAAACTTACTGAAACTGTACTGCATTTGAACTTGGGACACTTTGTGGGTTTTTGTGTGTGTGTGTGTGTGTGTGTGTTATTTTGTTCTGTTTTGTTTTAGTTTTTTTCCCCTTTGATGAGACAATGAAAGAACTACTTCTGAGACACCAGCTCCAGGACTGGAGGCTAAGGAACTAACACCAAAATTATTAAGACTGAAACTTTATTGCATTTGAACTTGGAGATTTTTTTTTCATTTATGTATTTTTTATTTTTATTTATTTATTTATTTATTTTTTATTTTCAATCCTCACTCTGTCTCTCTAATGCCTGTTCAGCTTACTGTTGATTGGTATACTCTCTCCCTGCTTATATCTTTGAAACTTTGGTTTGTTTTGTTTTTTCTACTTGTTTATTTGTTTTTCCCTTTTTCTTTAACTTCTTTGCTTTCCATCTCCTCTCACCCTTCCATTCTAAATATCACCATTGTTATTTTACAAGCTAGAAAATACTTAATTGCACACAGTACAGGGAAAATAACACCACCAAGGGCAATGATGGGAAGACAGGAAAAACAGGGAAACCAGTTTCCCTACAGCAAAAAATTAGTACAGGAACTAGAGGGAAATGAAAAAAACAGATATTCAGATCCAGCCTCCAACAAAATGAAGATAAACTATGCCAAAGAACCCAATGAAGCCCACAAGAACAATCTAAAAGAAATTCTGCAGGTAATCAGAGAATTTTATAGAGATGATACTGGATATGGTCAACCAAAATGTACAGGAAACACTCAAGAAATTCCAAGACAACAAAAATAGAGAATTTGAAAATGCACAATAACAAATAAAAGAAACCATAGAAGCACTGTATAAACACCAAAGTGAAACAAAGAACACGATTAATAAAAAGATAATGAACTACAGGGCAAAATAGACAACATTAAAGAGGAAGTAACTCAGCATATGAAAACTTCAGAAAAAAGAATGAAACAGAATTGCAAACAAATGAAGGCCAATCAGCAGAACAGAACAAACAGAGACAGAATTCAGAACTCAAGATGAAATGGTAATTAAAGGAAAAACCAAAGAACTATTAGTTAAACAACTCAAGACCTGTGAAAAGAAAATGCAACAACTCACCGACTCCATCCAAAGACCAAACCTGAGAATCATGGACAATGAAGGAGGAGAAGGGGTGCAAGCAAAGGGAATGTGTAATATATTCAACAAAATAATAACAGAAAATTTCCCAAATCTAGACAAATCTATTCCCATACAAATATAAGAGGCCTCCAGAACACCAAACAGACCAGATGAAAATGGAACTACCCCACGGCATATCATCATTAAAACAACAAGTACAGAAACTAGAGAAAGAATATTGAAGGCAGTAAGAGAGAAAAAACAAATAACATAGAAAGGTAAACCCATCAAAATCACAGCAGACTTCTCAACAGAAACATTAAAAGCAAGAAGAGCGTGGGGTGAGAGCTTCTGGGCACTGAATGAAAATAACTTCACCTCCAGGATACTCTACCCAGCAAAACTATCATTCAAAATAGATGAGTCTTCCATGATAAGCAGAAACTAAAACAATATGTGACCACAAAGCCACCACTACAAATGATTCTTCAAGTGATTCTGCACACAGAAAGTGAAACCCAACATAAACATGAAAGGGCAGGCAGCACCAAACTACAGGAAAAGAAAAAGTAAGAATGTAGAGAGTAACCTCCACTTAGGTACACACAATCAAACCTTCAAACAACTAAGACAACTAAATGACAGGAATCACCACATATCTATAAGTACTAACACTTACTGCTAATGGACTTAATTTCCCCATCAAAAGGCACTGTTTGACGAAATGGATTAAAAAGGAAGACCCAACAATTTGTTGCTTACAGGAGACCCATCCCACCGACAGAAATAAGCATATGCTTAGGATGAAAGGCTGGAAGAAGATTTAACAAGCCAATGGACCCCGAAAACAGGCAGGAGTAGCAATACTTATCTCTGACAAAGTAGACTTCAAACCTACATTGATCAAATGAGATACAGAAGGACATTTCATACTAAGAAAAGGGGAAACAGACCAAAAGGACATAACAATTATCAACCTATATGCACCCAATGTCAACGCACCCAATGTCATCAAACATACCCTGAAGGACCTAAAACTATGTATTAACTCCAACACAGTGGTTGTGGGAGATTTTAACACCCCATTATCATCAATAAATAGGTCATCCAAACAAAAAATCAATAAAGAAATCCTAGATCTAAAATATACAATAGATCAAAATGGATCCTACTTGATGTCTACAGAAATTTCATCCAACTTCTATCACAATAACATTCTTCTCAGCAGTCCATGGAACCTTCCAAATAGATCATATCCTAGGGCAAAGCAGCCTCAGCAAATATGAAAAATATATATACCATGCATACTATCTGATCACAATGCAAATAACTAGCTCAAACCAACAAAAGTAAAGACAAACATGCCAAACAGCTGGAAACTGAATAACTCATTACTTGATGAGCAATGGTCATTGATGAATAAAAGAGGAAATAAAAAGTTCCTGGAAGTCAATGAAAATGAAAACACAACCTACTGGAACCTATGGACACAGCAAAGGCAAGTCCTGAGAGGGAAAAGTTTATAGCCATGAGTGCATATATTAAAAAGACTGAAAGATCCCAAATCAATGACCTAATGATACATCTCAAACTCCTAGAAAAACAAGAACAAGCAAATCCCAAAACAAACAGGAGAGACATAATAAAACTAGGAGCTGAAATCAATGAAATAGAAACCAAAAAAACCATACAAATAATTAATGAAACAAAAAGTTGGTTCTTTGAAAAAATAAACAAGATTGACAGACCCCTGGCAAACCTCACTAAAGTGAAGAGAGAAAAAAACCCAAATTAGTAGAATCAGGAATGCAAAAGCGAGATAATAACAAACACCATCGAAGTCCAGGAAATAATCAGAGACTACTTCAAGAACCTGTATTCAAATAAATTCGAAAATCTTAAAGAAATGGACAGATTTCTAGATATATACAATCATCCAAAACTGAACCAAGAGGATATTAATCACCTGAATAGATCTATAACACAAAATGAAATTGAAGCAGCAACAGCAATCAAGAGTCTCCCCAAAAAGAAAAGTCCAGGACCTGATCGATTCTCTGCTGAATTCTATCAGACCTTTAAAGAACTGACACCAACCTACCTCAACCTGTTCCACAAAACAGAAAGGGAAGGAAAACTGCCTAACGCATTTTATGAAGCCAGTATTAAACTTATTCCAAAACCAGGCAAAGACACCTCCAAAAAGGAGAACTATAGGCCAATCTCCTTAATGAAAATTGATGCAAAAATCTTCAATAAAATAATGGCAAACCGAATTCAACAACACATCAAAAAGATCATTCACCACGATCATTCACAACAACAGGTGTTGAGGAGGATACGGGGAAAAAGGAACCCTCTTACACTGCTGGTGGGAATGTAAACTAGTATAATCACTCTGGAAAAAAATGTGGAGGCTACTTAAAAAGCGAAACATTGATCTAACATAAGATCCAACAATACCACTCTTGGGAATATACCCAAAAGACCGTGACACAGGTTACTCCAGAGGCACCTGCACACCCATGTTTATTGCGGCACTATTCACAATAGCCAAGTTATGGAAACAGCCAAGATGCCCCACTACTGATGAATGGATCAAGAAAATGTGGTATTTATACACAATGGAATTTTATGCAGCCATGAAGAAGAACAAAATGTTATCATTCGCTGGTAAATGGATAGAATTGGAGAACATCATTCTGAGTGAGGTTAGCTTGGCCCAAAATACCAAAAATCGTATGTTCTCCCTCATATGCGGACATTAGATCAAGGGCAAACACAACAAGGGGATTGGACTTTGATCACATGATAAAGGAAGAGCACAAAAGGGAGGTATGAGGATAGGTAAGACACCTAAAAAACTAGATAGCATTTGTTGCCCTCAACGCAGGGAAACTAAAGCAGATACCTTAAAGCAATTGAGGCCAACAGGAGAAGGGGATCAGGAACTAGAGAAAAGGTTAGATCAAGAAGAATTAATCTAGAAGGTAACATACATGCACAGGAAATCAATGTGAGTCAACTCCCTGTATAGCTATCCTTATCTCAACTAGCAAAAACCCTTGGTTCTTCCTATTATTGCTTATACTCTCTCTACAACAAAATTAGAAATAAGGGCAAAATAGTTTCTGCCGGGTATCGACGGAGTGTGGGGGAGAGGGAGGAGGTGGGGGGGGCGGGGTAAGGGGTGGTGGTGGAAGGGGGGAGAAATGACACAAGCGTTGTATGCACATACGAATAAAAAAATTAAAAAGGACTTCTTTATTACAAAACCATACCTTTAATGTCTACCTATCCTTGCAACTCTGCTGGATGGAGACATGCTTTTGCACAGGAACAGGTGCAGAGGGCCTGGCCCCCAAAGAAATAGGAAGAGATCAAGTCGCAGTCGAATCCAAGGAGACCTGGTGATTCTGCAACCCATGCCCCTTCCCTGGCCTCACCCAGCCCAGCAAGTCCTTTTGCACACCTACAAACATTCCATGAACTAAATGTCTTCAGCATACACACCAGAACACCAATCATAAACAAATGAAAAGTAACACTGGAAGAACTAGTAAAAGGAGAAGTCACAAAACCCCTAGGCCACTTTTCTTCAGGGGGCAATGAAAACCCAATGAGGTGAGGGACCTGGCCAAAATCTTCCAGCAACACTTGGAAGCTTGGGACTAGAACCCATATCAGCAGTATGCCATTCAAAGTTCTCCACAGGGGCTCACAAATGTGAAGAATGCCTGGCACCACCACAAAACACTGAATTCTCTGGTCTGGGTGGGGTGCAGGTCCTGGGATTCTCAAACCCCTCCACCCCAATTTGAATGCAAAGCCTGAGTATAGAAGCCCTGAGTTAAAAAACAAACGACAACAAAAAAAACAGGTAAGATGCACTCCTCTTCAAAGGCAGTGGGATGGATAGAATCCAGAAATGGCTGCCCTATGATTAGCTCACCTGCTGGGGCTGGGATGTCCTGTGCACTCTTCCTATACTCCTGCACACTCTCCTGGAAATTAGGGAGCTCCAGGGCCTCAGCTATGAATTCTTCAGGATTGCAAGTAATAATGGAGTCCCTGCAGAGAGAGAGAGGCATCTTGGGTGACTAAAGGGATTGTATGGCCTCAGCCAGTTCAGATACTGAGAATAAATCCTTGGGATCAATCTACAGATCATTCCTTCACATTAAGATAGAAGGCTAAGTAACTGAGACCTGGGTGGTTCTAATCTGCCTCCAGAACCTCCTCAAGTAAGTGGGGTATATCCCAGAATAAGGCCTGAGTAATTCTAGTTCTCTCAGCCTCAAAGTCTGACAACCAGGCCATACTGATAATCAGAGCGAGAGTCTTTCTTTGCAATGGGAGCTGTCCTGTGTAGCATCCTACCTCTACCCACTAGCACCACAACCCAAGATTGTGACAACTAAAGTGTCTCCAGACATGACCCAAGATCTCCTGGGAGGTGAAATGGCCCTAGCTGAACAGGGCCCCAGAGACACCCTCAAACCCAGATGCACAGAGCTAATCCCTGGGAACCTTGGCAAAATGCACTCTGAACTCTCAGGGAGCCTGACAGTCTACATTCCAAGTGAACTTCCAGCTAATGCTGGTGCTGCTAGTCCTGACCATGCCGAGTATTGATGCCTTAGACTGGTGGCTCTTCAACCTGGCTGAGCTCTAAAAATACTGAGAGCTTATGAAGTGAGCCCCAAAGCTCACCCTCCAGATCCTAATTCACTGGGACTGAGCTGACCCCAAGAATTGTACTGTATTTCTCACAAAGCACAAGGTAAGCCTGAATACTGACAAGGTTCTCACTGCCTATGTAACAGCCTATGGAGCTGAAGATGGGGCCTGGGAGGCTCTCCAGCTCAAGGTACTGTCTTAATCCAGTACATGGTCTACTGTAACAATGATGCTATGAGTAGCCAGAATACTGAAATGAGTCCAGATTCAGATAGGATATAGGCAATAAGGAAGCAAGCGGTATTCACTGTACCATCTGGAATGTATTGGCAGAAGCTTTCCAGATGGCAATTTATCATTATCAAGTGTCCAAAACTGTCATCCTGTGACCCTGTAACCTCACAGTTAGGAATACCTTCAGGGAACAAACTTCCATTCAAGGATTTATATATAATACATTTACTGTTTCATTAAAACAGCAAATAACTTGAAATGTTCCAAATGAGTAAACATCACTATCTGAAAAACCAATAAAACTCTAGTTACTAGAGACTATTTAACAATACAGGAAAAGACTAACAATGTCAAGATACAAACTCAAGTATACACTTTAAAACTATACCCCAATACATGCAAATTTGGAAACACAGAATGTCAATCACCCTAGATGGCACGGTGATGGGTGACTTTGTTATGCGTTTCTTACTTTCTGTATTGTAAAGCAAATAACATTATCACTTGTTTCCAATGGAAAACAATTTTTGAAAAGGGCAGTCACTGGCCCCAATCCTCCCAATTCAACCCAGAGGAGGGTCAGGCTGTTTTCCTAAATAAATGTGGCCTGGCAGAGCTGTGCTTGTTCACTTGTGTATACTATCTTTGGCTCTTCTGTGCTACAACAGCTGAGTTGACTGCTTGACAGTGGTCAGAATGGCTTCCTGAAACATCCACTACATTTGCAGGAAAGCTTGCCAGCCCATGGCCTAGATGAAGTCCTGAGTTCAGAATTACACACACCTCTGCCACTCTCTCCTGGGGCGGAGCTGGTACTTGAGGAGGCATTCACCTCGAACCGTGGGCACACTGAGGGCAGAGCCTTCCTCCTGAAAGGCAAGAACATACTCCATGGCCGAGAGAAAAGGATAGGAGATGATTGACAAGCACCATTCTGAGACACTACCTTACTGTGGAAAGTGGTGAGAGAGGGGAAGATGCCAGGGTGGATGAGATTGAGCTGCGTTTGAATCTTGTGACTACGAAGGTTGTGGACTGATGCACAGTTCTCATTCAGGATCAGGTGCTGGGTGTCAGGCCCAAACCTATGACAAAACAGACCATACATTGACAGTGTCCATCAGGGAATAATCCTACCTCAGAGATGGCATCAGAGATTAAAAGCCCTAATGTGGACAAAAGTGTCCAAAGAGTCATGTCACTTGCCCCCAAATAGTTATTGCATGGCCATACATAATACTGTTCTTTCTGCCTCAAAATCCAGGGTTCTCTCCCTATGGCAGCTACCTTTGGGATATGCTGGATGGAAAGAATGGAAGGAAAACCAAGGAAAATTAAGACGTTCAGATAGGGATTTGAAAACAACATGGAGTACAAGGTACAAGAAGAAAAGAAGTAAGAGGAAAATAGATAATGTATGTTACAACTCAAACCCTCAAGGAACGGAATAACGAGGAGAGCTGATGAGCAAGAGACCACTAGGGTGGAGAAGACAAATGAAGAAGCTGTGTAGAGTGAAGAGCAACCCAAGTTCACTATGTACTAAACTCTCCCCCACAGAGCCCAAGAGTTTGATTCAACTCCAATCTCTTTCCACAGAGGCCACCCTTGGGCCCTCTCTTCCTAGTTACTAAACTGTGGTAGAACAGCATTCTCACAGGCTTGCTGGGAAAAATAAACTCTTAAGGAAGTGAACTGTAATGTAAATGAACTGCCTGATGTGAAGGGGGTATTCAATGAGCGGAAGCTCTTATGTTACATTGGCTAGTCTCTTCTTTGGAATATACTCTTGTAATCCTCAAGCAAAAGGCAGTATTTGTTCAGGTACCTCCCAAAGTATGGCGGGCATAAAATGATGTGAAATGTAGCACTGTGCAAGTGGGACAAGTGTGCACACTGTGCCACCTAGTGGCAATGCTTCTCTTTGTGTGATACAGATGGGTACTCCCAAAATTCTTGTGGTAGGATCCCAGAGAAAATTCAGGCAGGCTCAGAAGTAAGGGTAGAGAGCACTCAAAAGTGAGGGAAGGAATACACCATGGCCCAGAAGGATTCCCCTAGGTGCCCTGGGCTAAGCTCCATACCTTTCCATCCACTGCTGGTACCTGCTGTCCATAAGCACAGATTCTGGGGCTATATGGACCACCAGGGCCACGGGGGTGTCAGCTTCTCCCTGATACCTGGGTGGAAGGAAGAGTGGTGTCTTGTCTTCTAAAGTGATATAAACTCAGAACACATACAAATGGGGACCATGCCCAGAGGATACCCTTCAGCATTATATGGGGATCACTTTTACACCCAGGCTGTCTCTTAGGCGCTCCCAATGGTGCCTGAGCACAACAGGCCCCAGCACTGGCTGCATCCTCATCCGTGGGATTCTTCTATTAGATAGCCTGCTCCAGACCTTCTGGTCTGCCTCTCTGAGCCTTCTCCATGTCACACTGCAATCTGAGGTTCTTCCTATCTGTTCCCTGCCTACTCCAGCTTCTTCTCTCCTTCATCTCTAAAGAGCAGTTCCTCCCACCAGCCTCCAGCACTTCCAATTCCACCTTAGTGTTTAGTACCAGAGGACCCAAGACACCAAGACAGAAAATGAAAATTTTCTGAAACTCTACCATCTAGAGAGAAGACCACTGATTAACTTGGTGGTTTTCATTTAGTTTTTTAAAAAAGAACTTCACACAGTTTTTATTATCGCCATCATTGCCACCACACACATGCACAGGGCTCTCAAATGGCATCTGAGTAACCTGGAGTAGCTTTGCTGGTCAAAATTCATGGGAATACAAAGTCTTGCCACCAGCGAACCAAATTCACCTTGAGAATAAAGCAAGCCCAGGAAGGACTCCCAACATGGAAGGGGCAAGCAATCCAAAAGAATTTGTTGTATAAGTAGAAGTGAAAAAAATACAGACAAGTAAAAATTGAGAACAGGAAAAATAAAAATAAATCGCTAAGAATGGGAGGAAACTTAAAATACAGACATGTGGGTCACAGATTCTACCTGGGATTAAAGCTGAACTAAAATACTTCTTTGGAGGCAGAACACTTGGGCCTGAAACACGCTTCCAGGCTGCAATTCTATCCCTGAACAGACTCCTGAACAGTGTGCCCTCACTCTTCCCCACCTCAAGAAGCTCAATGTAGGTAAATGAAGAATAATCAGACAGGCAGAAATAGCTCAATAATGATGAGGGGGCAATAATCTAGAACTCAAAAAGTTCTAGAATTTACCCTAGGCTTAGAGCTCTAGGAGTTCTGGTCCTTGGGGTTTCTCATTTGCAAATCTTCTCTAACCTCACTTCAAGGCTACATATGCCACAAAACCCACTGACCTCGAGCAGCAACTTAAATCCTGCTAGTAGGATGGACAGGTATTTCAAGCCCAGAGGACAGGCTTTCCCAAAGACCTGGGTCCATCCCTAAGGCGTTGTGTCTATGTATGTAGGACTGGGCTTTTTTTTTTTGTGGTGCTAGGGTTTGAACTCAGGGCCTATACCTTGCAGCCAGTCCACCAGCCCTTTTTTATGATGGGGTTTTTCAAGATAGGGTCTTGTGAACTATTTGCCAGGCCAGCTTCAAACCACAATCCTCCTGATCTCTGTTTCCTGAGCAGCTAGGATTACAGGTGTGAGCCACAAACACCTGGCTTGGAATAGGCTTCTTAAGCAGCAGACACAGCCCTCATATTTCTCTCACCTGGACCCTCATCTTTACCTCTTAAAGATGTCATTCTCACAGATGGGCTGGACAAATCCTTCATCTGGACATTCTACCACAATAAATGCAAGACCAGGATCCGGGGCAGTACAGAGCTCTTCAGGCAAAATCTGCAAAATCAAACATGCCGGCTCACTGGGGTAACAGTGCACTTTCAGAACAGGGACAGCTTGCATCCAAAAATGAACAGCCTTAAAGGCAGCTACTAGCATTACAGATCCCATAGCCAAATACACAGGGCACAAGACTGACTGGAAGGGTTACCGCCTACACCCTTCCTGCTCTTTGTTTATACTTCAACAACTAGCTGCGGAGACTGGGCAAACCTACAATGGCCAGGAACACAGGCTTAGAATTCAAGGTTCTCTTTGACACTAGAGAAAACATCTTCATAAAAAACATTTTGGCATGTCTTTAGGCCATGAAAGCAAAGCCCATCAGTATGGGGTGTTTTGGACGCTGCCCTGAGCTCAAATACCAGGGAGGACATCCACCCTTGTAGGAGAACCACCAGATCCTGAACAGATGATCTACAGAAATGCCTACACACAGCAGTGCTGAAGTGCACCACAAATCTGGGGAAGAGATTCATCACATAGCCAATGAAGAAATTTCAAAAGTGGTATCTAAAGGGCCTGCATCTGAGTGGCTCTGCCCAGTGTCCAAGGTCCACCTGTGACTGCCAAATCATCATGGAAGTCAGAAGTCTCACCTCTCTTCCTTCATAAGTGATACTCTTGCCATCCTTGACAGCAGCAATGATAGGTGCGATGGCAGCAGTCCCACTGAAATGAAGATGCAAGCCCTGGGTGAGATGCTTCTCTTTATGAACAGAGATGGGCATGTCCAGTTCCCAACAGCCTCAGCCCTGACACTCACACTGGGAGGCCCAGCTCCTTTGCTTTGAGCACCAAGAAGTTTCCTTTCTTCAAGTGAAGCTGAAACAAAAGTAAGTTATTGAACACAAATGTAATTTCAGCCACTGATTAAGAAGCTTGGTTTCAATTAACTTACTTAGAAGTGTATCTTTCTATTTTTTTTAAGTTAATGTTATTTTCTTTAATTCATTAAAGTACAGTTTATTGTTTTCAGAAGGCATATAATATTCTTTAGAACTAAAATGTTTTAGAACTAAAACCTGAATGATTTAAAACACAATGCTTGATTCCAACAAATTTTGGAATTTACTCATTATAAATTTACTAAAATGTAACTTTTCTATATCAAAGTTAATTATAAGGATCCTTAAGCATCCTTCACGAGAAACACAAGGATATGGGGGTTCTGTCTTTTTCATTCCTTATCAGTAATTAAAGGAATGTCACCAAAACATTGTCTAACAGAGCAATGACCAAGCAAACTTCCAACACAATATTCCAATGACAATGGTAGCGTGATAGAAAAACAGATGATTTGTTTTGGGTTTTTTCACCCCTCCTGGATTTTTCAAATATTTGGCAATGTAGTGTTATTTGTATACTGAAAAAAAACTGTAATAACGAATTCCCAATGTTCTTATGCTAGAAGGGCAAACAACAATCCTATCACAAAACCTTATCACCATTCCAATCCTATTATCATTCTGTAAACTTCTGCCCAAGTATTTTTGGGATCTACATATTTCACACACAATAACAGAAAAAATGTCAGAAATGGCGTAAGAGGTTAACAGGGCTCTGCTGAGTTATATTTGATCTTTACTTTCTGCCTTAAATCTTGATAAGCTATTTGCATTTATTTCTAACTTCCTGAAGTTAAGTTACTCTTACGGTGAAGTCTCAAATTTAGATCCTGAAGTCTTATTCTCAATATTCTAGATTTTCTCATCTTAAAAAAATATTGTTCTAGAGAAAGGACTGAAGCTTCCATTTGTGCACATCACATGTCACACGGAGACGCTCAGGTTCAGCTGACACCACTGGATGACATGAACAAGCACTGTAGTGAATATTCTCTCCATCTACCACATGGGTCTGAAGATGGAAAATGAATGTTAAATGAATATTAAAAGGAACTTGGATACCTAAGACAGGGAGACCCATCTCTCCATGAGCTAAATTCGACCCACAGAGATTTGTTCTCTATCCCAAGAACAGAGTCTTTGAAAAACAGGCAAGAACTAGAGTGCAAGCCAAGGGTGTCCCAAGCAGTCCAACAGATGCCCGAAGCCCACGTTCTTCTATCAGATGAGTTTCACAGGCCTTGTGTTCAGAGCCTGCTTTCTTAGACCCCCCAAAACTTGAACTAGCTCAGTGTACTGCTTTCTAAACCCTCAACTGAGAAGCAGCAAATTAACTGGAAGAGGAGAGACTTTAGTTGACCCCATTAGAAATGGAAGCAGACAGCAAGGGAGTGACAGGATAGTCAGAGAGGGCAGCTTGCAGTTCCAGGATGGCTGCCTCATGCTGACGCAATGGCGGAGTACCTGAGAACCTGCCTGCAAAAACATGCTTCAGGGCTGCAGGTGTGGCTCAAACAGTAGAGTGCCTGCTTTGCAAGCACAAAGTCCTGAATTCAAACTCCAGTTCCATTAAACAAAATCACACTTCATCACATTCAGTGTAAGCTATTTAGGTAGTCAGGAAGGATGTAATATAAAAGACTACTATATAAAATAGTTTAAAAACAATTACTTTGTTGTTGGTTAAGAACTTAGAAACATACAGGTAATATGCCTACAGACAATAGTTCTTAACTTTTGTCATTCAAATAGTGACAGAAATGACCTTGAAGCTCTGACTACTGCTTTTCATGACTGTTTTCACTTGTAGGTATTAGGATCCATGTGAAATTGCAAATATATTTTAAAATCAAAGTCCACAAAAGAATAATGTGGTCTTACCAGAAATTAGGCAAAGGTATTTGTTACAGGTTATATTTTTTTAAAAAACTTAACGCAAAGTCCTACTAAAAATGGGCCATTAGTCACATTTTAAACATAGCTTACTATAATTATTTTTATTGGAATTTGGCCAATTTTAGACTACAGATGTAGGCCTTAGTGAATGCTACCTAATATCTAAATCAATCTAATTCAAACACCTTAACTACAACAATGGAATTAAATAAATTAAAACAGAGTTGAAGGAATTTGAATAAAGGCTCAACTGATTTGGAGGAAAACAAATATAGCTGCCTTTAACTATTTGTGAATTCTAAAAGGACCAATCACAGGTAAGTATAAAATACGTCCACAAACTGACAGAATACTGGAAGAGAATTTTAAAGGCTATAAAAAATATAGGTGAGAAATAGGGAATCTGTGTTCCTTCTTGACATATGTAGCTTAGGAGCTGCTACCTTCACATCACTATACATGTGCTAACAGAAGGTACCAATCATACCACGTGTTGGCCTCTAGCCACATGCTCACTTGGTGTCTGAATATAGAAAGACTCTCTTACCTTACAGACAAATGCTACCACCAAGGAAGGGTCCCTGCCATTGCCTTTCCAGCTAACACCTGAGGAAAAACACATTTGATCAAAACAAGGTGAATGGGAAGGTGTGCAGGCTTCACAAATTTTATCACTTGATATTTAGTCTTACCTCCTGTGGGCATTACTATCCCAATACAAAGACTGAGGGAGACTCTGATATTCCCCAACAGACCTCTTTTATCCTACTATGTTGAGGTTTGAGTAAAGAGAAAACACAAAACTCCAATCAGAGAAACTTCAGAATAGCAAGAAAAATTTTTTCGAATGGCCCATTTTACCTAATAGTGAACATAGCAAAAAAGTTGCAATGTCCTTTATAAATCAGTAAAAGAAAATGCAAAGTAAGACAAAAGCTAAAAGGCATGGGGTGTCAGTCTTCACCCTGTGCCATCCAAAACAGGAGAGCACTCAAGGGCTGTCTTTTCATGGTCACCAGCCAGACACATTGCAGAATAGGAACAGGAACTGATCATGTTTTGCTCATCACTGGACAACAGAATATTAGAGCAGTCCAACTCCTTTGATTCAGCTAACCTTGGACTTGTAGTTATTTCCCTGTAGGTTGTCATTCTGAAAAAAAAAATGGGCTGATCTATTCACTGATTGGATTGTCAGCTTAGTAGTTATACTTTCTGCATTACTGAAAATGAACCTACACTAATGTCCTATTAATGAAAAACACAAAAACTCTTGGAATGAGTGAGTTTGCTCTGCTCTCTTCTGGGTAAACTGAACACAAGTTTTGGGGCTATCCAAGGTTGCAAATGGCCTTAAACCTTCAGTATTGCCACCTTTCTCACTGCTTACTTTCCACCCAAACCAAGGCCTTATATGCTAAGACAAAGGCCTCTGCTTTCTTATCATGATTCTAATTCAGAATAGTAAGAGGCAAAGAGCTGCCACTGGTGATGTCATGGATAGAACTGGAAGACATTATGCTAAGGGGGGTAAGCCAGTCACAGAAATATGATCTCACTGACATGAAGAATCTAGAACAAATCCATGTCATAGATACAAAGTAAAAAGGAAGTTACTAGAGGCTGGGGAATGGGAAAAGGGAGATTACAAAGTTTCAGTGATACTCTTACTAAGTTTTAGTGACCTCTTACACTGCAAGGTGACCACAGTTAATAACAATGTATAGTTTGTTTCAAAATCAGTGGTAGAGTGCTTGCCCAGCATGCAGGAGGCTCTGGGTTAATACCACTGGAAAAATAATTGTTTAAAATAATAGATTTTAAACATCCTTACCACAAAAACTAAGTTGGTAAGGTAATGGCTGTTAACTAGTTTGAATGAATCTTTCTACCTAGATTAATACATCTCATTGGACCCCAAAACATATAAAATTATTGTTTGCCAATTAAAAATAATCTGAAAAAAGGGCAAGTCATTAAGAAATACAAGTGCCTTCCCAGGACAGTTTATACCATTGCCACCTGGAAGGTGTTGCTCATTTTCAATTGATCCAGAGCCTGAAGACTGTTCTGGGCTGAGTCTGGGTAAAGGCCTTTCTGGGCTCTGTGATGGCTGGTGCTCTCCACACCACCGTTCACCTAGGCAGCAGAGGAAACCATCAAATTACACACCACACAGGTAACCCACAGCTGCAGCCTATATGTTTCCACATAGGAATTCCAATAATCCTTTTACTATAGTAGTAAATAACCAGCTACCTACCCACCCAATCTTTGGGCATATTTACATCTTACTCATCTTTATGTTTCTGCTTAGCTCACAGCCTTGCCCACAGTAAGGATTTAACAGTGTTTGTTGAGGGAAAAGCATACAGGCTGGAGGTGGGTTCATGCATGACCACATATAGGCCAAAGGCTCCATGAGAAGGAGCAAAATTTTGCAGCCAACTAAGTCACAAAGTCAAAGAAAAACTTTTGCTGCTCTGAGACTGAAGCACAGCTTTTGTCTCAATAGAACCCATGCTTGCTCCTCCAAGCACACACGAGGCCCACAAGAAAACAAAGACCAGCAAAACAGAGCAAGCTCAGTGTTGATCACACAAAAACACATGAAAGTAAACTGTTTTGTGCTATGGAGGGAAGAGCAGGGTGCTAGAAAGACACAATGGAGGAAGACAACTCAGGCTGGGGGGGTGGGCAATGGTGTCAAAGACAAGACACTTAACTGGGAGTGAGGCAGGCAAGGAGTCTATCTCAGACCATTATCTCATAGGCTTTAATCACTGTGCCACTGCTCAAACTGCACCCCTTCCCCTCCCTTCTACCCATGGCCAGCATAAACCTCAGACCCTTCTCTGGCTCTGGACTTCCTGGCCTTTGTCAGTGCTCTTGTCTATAGCCCTTAGCATGACAAGCATCATATCAGTTAGCACTGTCAAGGAAACATGCTTACTACTAGGTATTCTCTTTCCGCCTATATAAAACTGGATATGAAGTTTGCTTAGCCAGACTCAAGGACTAGAGGGACATGCAGAACATCTCTGTTCCAAAGTCAAATCCACATCATGTGCTCTGGAATCACACAAGCTTTGTTGGAGTTTCTCAGCTCCTGATCCCACTCTCTTAGTTGGCAGTTATTAGCATTTGTTTTTAAAAAAAAAAAATCGGGGAATGCAAACCTCTCCAGAGACTTCTCATCAAAAGGCACATCTATCTGTAACAAACCAACCCCAAGCAGTGCATGTGCAAATCTGAGTGCAGACTATTTCCTGATAGCACCTTGATTACATAATGTTCCCCAGCACAATCATTTCATTATACACAAGTTCAACATGTCTGTCCACAAGAGCAAAAGCTAAGCTCCCAAAAGGCAAGAACCAAATTTCAATTCTATAGTTAAACTTCCTAAACATGCTCAGAACACAATCCAGGGCACCCAACGGAAGTATTCAGTTTCTGGTTCTTCACCCACACCCGCCTCCTCCTGGAAATCTGGCTTCCACACTCACTGTGTATGGGGACCTGGTGAACTGTCATGGTCTCATCCTTATATTCTGATGCAGAATGGGGCCGCACAGCTATGTGAAAAGTACAAATCAAGAAAGTGATTACATCAGTAAAGATGTGTGAAAATGAACTTTCATGATTCCCAACCTCAGCAACTGAACTGGTTCAGAATTTTGGTAGGAATTTGCCAGTAAAACCAGAATTTCTGAGATTAAAATTTTTAGGAAAGAAGCAAAACTGTATTTTCATCAGCCATTAATATTTACCAGTCAGATGAAATATATGTCATAATCATTGGTGACTAGCTATTAAAATAAAGAAACTAATACTTACTCAATTGCATGAGTCCTAAATTAACATATAAGAATACGAGGCCAAAGAATCTATCATCTCAACTATGAGAGCTGGTACACATTGTGGAATAAATACTAGTGCTTCTGTAAAAGAGAAGCACTCTAGGCCAAAGATGCACACCAGCTCCAGGACAAGAGCCCTGTAGAATTGTCAGCAGGGTCTCTTCCCATCAACGGGTTGGGAACCTCCTGGGGCTGAGGTTCAGCTACAAAACGTTCATACTCCTCTTCCTCCTGCAAGGAATTCAGGGCACCGAGAACCAACTTGGACTGGGGAAAGAGCCTTGGGGTCTGGATGGACTGTTACCTGCTGGTGCATGTTACAGCACTCCTACCTGCTTAGCATTTTTGTGGCATGATGTGGGGGCATAGAAAGTGCAACAAAGCAGTATTTTTAAAAATCCTTATTATACCGATGAAGCATTTAAGATTTGATTTAAGCCAGCTTATAATGGATTCTAATTGGAAAAGTCGGGTATAGCTGAGAAAGAAATGAGTCATGGTCAAGGACTTACCCAGATCTATTCCTTTCAATGGACCAGAAAAAATTTTGATTGCTTCTAGATATTTTTTCTAAAAAAAAAAAAGAAAATATAAAGAAGTGAGAAGCTATGGTTAAAAAAAACTCAGAATGCAGCAATACAGTCAACATAAAGCCAACTTAAATAAGTGCTTCAAACCTCACTTATACAAACAGTTACTGTGTCTACTACCTATTAGATGCCAAGAGTTTAACAGTGCAAAGGAGATGAAATCCTTGTTCTCATGAATCCAATAGAAAAGAGAAAAAAGGAAACAAATTGTTAACAGAAACCACATGGTGGCAATCGTGGTTAAGTGCTCACAAAAGATGAAAAACACCGGGTACAGGGACCAACGTGTCTGGAGAGACAAGAACAGTTCAGAGGAACTGTCTCTTTAGCTGAGTCCCGATGGCTCTGAGGATATAGCAAGGCTGAGGAGGAGGCAGGAGGAGCCCATGTATGGATGAAAGCCCTGAGATGGGCAGTTGATTTGGTGGGACAATGGGTTAGTTGGTGCTTACAGCTGCAGCATAGTGACGAACACAGACACAAGTGTAAGCAACGGCTGGGGACTATGGGACTTGTAGGCCATGTCAAATTATGTGGCTTGTACTGCAATAGGGAGCCCTGAAGCATTTTAGGTTGGGAAGTGACACCTACAGTTATGTCTTAAAGATGTGGCTCTGGGCTCTGGCTGATATGTGACAGATGGGTCTGATACACAGTTGTGGCAGACGGATAACAAAGGCCTCAAAAAAAATGGAAACAAATGGAGTTGGACATTATGTTGGAAATAGAATTTATAGAATGTTAACAACTGCGATGCAGATGTCTGAAATTAAATAAGTAAGAACAAAAGTAAGGCTGGCAGAGAGACCCAAGTGCTTGAGTACCTGCCTGGCAAGTGTGAGGCCCTGAGTTCAAACCCCAGACCCACAAAATAAGAATAAAAGTCATCATTTGAGCTGGGAGTGTGGCTTAATTGTTAGAGCACTTGCTTCGCATTTGAGGCCCTGGGTTCAATCCCCAGGACTGGGGTGAAAAAAAAAGACTGTCACTCATTAAGTACTTAACTTGGTACAACATCTAAAACATCCAATAACTAAATCCAATAAAGTGATTTAGTTCTGTATATGCTATCTCGTTAAATCTTTAACAACCCTTTGAAACCAAATAGCCATTTTATAGATTAAGAAGCTAAAGCACAGAGAGGCAAAGTAACTCATTCAAGGTCCCACAGTTGATAAGGTTTTGAACTCAGATTTACTTAATTTGAAAGGAGAAGTGTTTACTCCACTACCAGTTTTCTCTGGCAAAAGGATGTTTTGCAAAAATGAAAATTCTTGTAATGAGCATTAAAAAGGAGGAGGTGATTTTGATTGGTGATTCAGGAGAGACTCACCAGTTGTGGAGGTCCAGAAAGTACACACTTTGGAAGCCCGGTTTCCTTTAAGGTAAGAATCATTCCTAAAAAAGATGAATAAAATCAGATCTTTCATCAACCTGACCTGTAGTCACCGCCAAGAGGAGCAGCACCCTTACTTATCCGCATTCATCTACATGTCCTCACTCCACTTCTCAACAGTCAGGAGGAAATGCAGGCAGAGCAGAAGTGATACTAGCAGAGGTAAAAGGGATATGAAATCTTCCCCACATGCTTCTGCAGTGAGCAGAGCCAACTAGGTTGAGGTAGTAACATAACCTGACAACCAAACTTAGGGAGGTGCTTACTCACAGTTGTACAAGTGGCTTACACTTTGTACCCTGTACCTCATGTACATCACCCTCGTCTCAGTCTGAAAGTAGAGACCAGTCCAGTGCCCGCCTCTTTCCGATGCACACCACCAAACTTTCAGTATCTGGTTGCAACACCACCTTAACCTTCCCAGTTGATAGACCTGAATAACGGAATAATCTGGACAGTGGATGTCTGTGTATAGCTGCTGCTGGTGTTCATGACAAATATTTACTTTAATTACCACCACAGCCTTCTCTGGTTAAATGTCTGGACCATCCACCTGAGAAACCAAGTGGATGGTGACACTTAGAGGCAGTATCCATGTTAAAATCTGCTCTCTGAGTCCAGCTTTTGATGCTTCCTACAGCTGACTAGAGTGACTTACAAAGAATTCCTGCCCCCCAGGTCCCAGAAGAAGGGCAAAAAAGAAAGATTAAGATCAGACTCCAACTAGCCTCTGGCCCTGCAAACAATATACTTACCACACAATCCCCCAACATTAGCCCAGTGCATTCGTGTCAGGAATATGTTGTCCAAGCGAGCAACTTTCAATCTAAGAAAGAGAAAACACCTCAGGAGGATGAAACAGACTGACCAGAGACAATTTCTGCTATTAAAACGCACCTGCCTCTTACCTCTGCTTTCAAGCCCCATAATCATCTCCACCCCAGAAGCAAATTGTTGACTCACTTGTGTTCCTGCATGAGTCGCTGGACACCTTCTCCACAGTTGAAGAGATACCTATAGAAAGAACATTACCATATTCGTATTGTAAAATATGACACTGATAGAATGCTTTACTGCAGACTCAGCCAAATAACCAAATAATCCATCGTGAACTGCATTTCTGCTATTATCCTGAAGTTCTGAACCTTCCTTAACAGAGGTCTGGAGGGGTGAGAGCCTGTACAGACTGGTGGGTGACAGGGGGCGAGATAGGCTCTTTACCCCATCAGCTTCTTACTAGACTGGTCTACCCCACACACCAACTATGAAGGTCCAGCTTTGGGGCACTCAGAAGTAGCATGCCAAAAGCCAGTGCCAAGAGTGGCCCAGGAGACACCTAAACTCGCGTCTGAAGTTCTTCACCGAAACCATATGGACGAAGAGATGTAAGAATCTAGAATTTCCCACCCAGCGAAAGAGCATAACTGCTGGAGCAGTGAAACCCCACGCGTGTGCAAGTGGGAGAAACCCAAGCCCAGGGAGGTGCGGCAATATTCCGGGGCTGCTCAGCACGGAAGGCAGGGCGTGGATCGGTAAGGGGACGCCGCAAAAGCCGGGTCCGACTGACCGATTGTACTCGGAGAAGACATAGAGTGCAGCACCCGCGTCCCGACCGCCGGCTGCCACCACCTGCAGGTACACGGTGTTCGGGCCCCCAGGTCCCCATGACGGGCCGCGCTTCTCCCGCGTGCGCAGGTGTCGCAGCGGGTCCTTGGGCGGACGCTGGCGGCGGGTGGGTCCCTGCGACATGGTGCGCCGGGCCACAGACCACAGCAGTGAGCGGAGCGCCCACATGCACGCGTCTCCACCTGCGCTGAGAAGGCAGCCGGTCACCTCAGTCAGCGTGCTCCAAGCACCGCCCCTGCGCTCCTGCATGTCGAGGCCAGCCAATCAGAACGCTGCGCAACGACCGACCCGTCCACGCGATGCTACGCATCCAATTGAGAAGAGCCTTGGTGCTCCGGGCTTGTCAATCGGCGGCGGTCATAGAGTGAAGGAATGCTAGAGCGCCGTACGCCGCACACAGGCTCTCCCTGTGTCAGTTTTTTCCGGAAACTGTGCTTCGCCTGGGGCGGGACTTCCGGGAGCAAAAGGCCAAGAAAGGCAATGCCCAGAGAGGGCTGATTAAAGAAGTCGGAGTTGTGGTGCAGGTTTGAACCTCGCCTCCCCGAATTATAAACTGTGCCTTAGGCAAGGTAACCACCCTGCCTGGAGCTTTGCTTCGGTCTTGTTTGCGTGACTGTAAGGATTAAATGTGAGGAGATAAATTGTGTAGTGTACGAGCTTTAGCAAATGTGATTTCTACTCTTAGGCGTAAGAATATGTTCTTAGTTACTTTTAAAAAGAAAAGCAAGAAGAGTTACAAGTTAAAGAGAACAGGTTCTGGAGCAAGGGAGTGTTAACTGAGTGATCTTGACCTCCCTGACCTTATCTGTAAAATAGGGGTAGTTAACAGTATTTGCTCCAGAAGATTTTTAGAGTTAAAATGGTCTAGTAAAATGGCATTGCTACAGAAGAGACAATAAATGGCAGCTTACTAAATGTTTGAAAGCACAGAAAATACATTTAAACAATTAGAGCTGAAGAAATGCTGACCAGGGGCTACCTAGTTCCATGACCCAATGCATGCCTTTTGAGAAGCAAGAAAGACCTACTGCCCCTTCAAACGCTAATTTGGAAACACAGGGAGCTCTGTTAAGTGAGGGGAATTTTTTTTTTTTAACCTGAAAATCCAGCTAAAATAAGAAGCTGGTTGTATGGAAGAATACCACAACCCTGTGTGAAAACATATTTTGTTCTTGAAGCACCATACTGTTATGGGTGGATGGGGTGTTCTAGATGTTACTCCGTTCTTGAGTACAACACTTACAGTGCAGCAGAAGAACCACTGAAGAATAGGAAGATAGTAAGAATGATTTATTAGGAAACCAGAATTACATTTTGAGGGGTGAGATGGGCAGTTCAGTTAAGAACCGGCTACCTAACTGGGGACAGTATACTTCAAGAGGTAAGGTGGGCAGTTGGATAATGTCCCTCCCCTTCTGGTCCTCCCAAAATGGTTTGACCACTGTTCAGAGGCTGCCCAGGTGTGGGAAGGTGTATGCCTGAGAATTTGATCCTCTTTGACATTCCCACTTGATCCTCTTGTCCTTCCCTGTTGATCCTATCTGCCCTTTACAGTTTAACCTTGATATTTGGGGAGTTGATTCCTAAGGATATAGGGCCATTATCTTAATCATTGGTCCAGGGTGTGAGCCATCTGAGGTTTTAGAGTGGAATCTGGTTCCTGGGTCATTTCCTTATTCCTGCTAATGCCTACCTAATCATCTCAGTGAGGAGCAAATCTACTTTAGAGGGCTATGCACTGGAGAGACTGTGATATCACTGTTGGCCAAGGATAAAGTCAACCTAGTCAAGAACAAAGAGAATTATATATGTGCAGCTGATTAGAAATGCAATCTGGGGAAACATATTCAAACAATCTTGAATATGTGCTCTGATGCTTTTTGAAATGGTGACTACAGCTCAGCACAAAGATTAGAGGTTTGGCTGCATAGTGTCTAAGATCTGATTAACAGTGGCCTCCCAACATCCTGTGAAGAACTCCCAACCAATGCTACTCAATTGTTTTTTCCTTGATGCCACCATCTCCATAAGTATTAAAAAATAAAAAACAATACTAAACCCTGTTTTTAAAATGTTAAGAGCTGGTGGTATGGCTCAAGTAGTAGAGTGATTGTATAACAAGAACAAGGATCTGAGTTCAAATCCCAGTTTGCCAACATAAATTAAGACATATAATAAAAATTGACTTTTCCCAGGATGACTACTTTGATCATCTGGGGAGATTATTTTTTTAATATCAAATAATACACACACACAATTTTGGTTCCTCCATTTAATCTGTGTCTGAGGCACATATCTGTCAGATAATCCCAAACTGCATATATCTTTAAAATATAGGAAGGCTCACTTTGAGTCATCTACTTACATACGATTCTGAGAGCTGGATGAAGGAGTTATGGAAGGCTTGGGTGATCATCAGCTTATTTCTAGGGCCCAGTATGCCTTTTATGCACTGTTCCTGGGTTGGCTTTTGATTCCTGGTATATGAACATGAAAAGTGGAACTTCCTCAATCTAAGGTTTTAGTGAAATGTAAATCCTACAAGGACAGAACTTTGTCGGGTTCTCTATCAGTAGCTCCTAAGACTGGGCCTAGCTTATGACAGACATTAAGTATTGGGAAATTAGAAAGGAATAAGTAACTTAATGAAATTGTCCCTTTGTAATTGAGCAGGGCCCACGTTTAACCAAGAGGGAATTAGCCAGACTGGTATCTCCAAACAGGCAGTTCAGAGAGTCAGAAAAGTATCTTTAGACTTGCAAGAGTGGGAGAATCCTGACCACTGGGGCTGCAGGAAAGAGGAAACTGAGTCAGTAGACTTTCAGAACTCAAATGATGCTGATAGTTAATATAATCCAAGCATTTCTTGTGCTTTGAGACTCTTAGTTGTCCATTGCTGTGGATATAAACTACCCGAGACCCAGTGGCTTTAAAACCACTTTCTATCACTTTATTGCTCACAGTTTTCCTCAGCAGTGATGACTGGTATCTGCAATTTATGCAATTTATGGTGGACGCTAGGTTGGCTCAATGGGGAGTGAACTATCCAACATGGCCTTACTCACAGGCTGGGGCCTTGGTGTTGGCTGTGGCAGAGTTGCCTTCATTCACCTCTATGTAGCATTCTCATCCACATAGAATGTCCTTAGATCCTGGCCTTCCAGGCTCTAGTGATGTTAGATTTCTGTTGCTATGACAAAATACCTGAGATAGGGTTAGAGGCATGGCTCAAGTGGTAGAGCGCCTGCATAGCAAACACAAGACCCTGAGTTCAAACTCCTGTACTACAAAGAACAAAAGATTTATCTTGGCTCTCAGTTTCAGAGGTCTCAATCCATGCTCAGTTTTTCTGGTTGCTTTAGGGCCTGAGCTGTATGTCATAGTGCAAGCATGTTGCAGAGGTAACAGAGGAAAGCAGCTCACCTCATGGTGGCCAGAAAAAGAGAGAGAGAGAGAGAGAGAGAGAGAAGGGACAAAATATACCCTTCAAAGCATGTTACCAATGATCTGCTTCCTCCAACTAGGCCTCACCTTCTAAAGTTGTCACCACCTCCCAATAGCACATTAGGTAATGAATCCGTAAACAGATTATCCATTCATGAGATCAGTCAGAACCCTCATGATCCAATCACCTCCCAAAGACCATCTCTAGGGCTAGGGTGGCAGGTGCTTGCCTAGTATGTGCTAGGCCTTAGCACCACAAATTAACTTAAAGAAAACACAAAGGGCTCACTTCTGAACAGTGTCTCATTGGGAACCAAGCCTTCAAAACATAAGTTCTTGTGGGACATTTAAGATTAAGCCATAATATCACTACACCTACTTTGAGATATTATCTAAGGCACCCACTGACTTTCCACACACACACATATTCATTCAGCAACACATATATATTAAGCTTATATTTGGTTCTAGATACAGTTGTCTGCCACGTCACATTTTGGTCATCAATGGACTGCATAGGATGGTGGGTCCACAGTATGATGTCACCTAATGACATCATAGCCATCTTTGTTGAGTACCTATAATGATGTTCATACAATGATAAAATTGCTGAATGACACATTTCTTAGAACATTTATCTTTAAGAAATGCATGCATACAGATATGAATAATGCTAATGACGGTTGCCATTAAAAATCTCAGGAAACTGGTACCTGAGGGGCTAGGATAACAGTCAGGCCCTAGAACACATAGGAAAGTGTCATAAGGGAAATTGGACATTGATATTTTTGTCTTCATTGAGTTTAACTCTAAAATGGTCCAGGTTTAGACCCCTAGAAATCATGCAACTACACATTTGCTAGTCGCAGCGCATCTGAAGGAGATGTTTTTAAAGCAAAAGTCATATTAAAACAAATCATGTATTATGGCAAAGACAAATTACATTGACTTCAAGTGCCTGAGCAGGTTCTTAGACTGTATTCTTTATAACTTTGAAACTGTTAAAGCAGGAACTTTTCAGCTTCCTGTAGCAGCAAAACTGTGGCAGAACCATCACCTCGCCCTCTCCCCTTTCATGAAGCAGGGGCCCTCTGCTGGTAGGTGCCTGCCTCACAGGCATGTCATCTTGACCTCACAGTCACAGGCCTCATAATACTTCTAGGAGGACATTGTTATTCCCATCTCACAGACTAGGAAAACAAGACTCAAGCTTCATAACCTGCCATAGCCTGCACACAAGTGACGTTTTGTAAATAAAGTGTTATTGGAACATCTCCATGTCCTTTGCTTACATATGCAATAGCTGCTTTGGCTCTGAGACAGCAGAGATTGAATGGTTGTGACAGATGGCATAGCCCACAAAGCCAAAGTATTTACAAACTGTTGGCTGACCCTTGACCTATGCTATGAATTAATCTAAAAAATAAATCTCTTAGAAATGGCAAAATTCTGTTGCATTCTTGTTTGTGTTAAAAGGATCTTTGTGTCTACGGCCACCACCCTGAACGCGCCGACCTTGTCTAAAAGGATCTTTGTGTTTCAAGGAATACTACAATTTTTAGACTCTAGTACATTTTTAATATACTGGGAGTGAAAGAAAGAAAGGAAAGAAGGGATGGAAGGAAGGAAAGAGAAAAGGACAAGAGAGAAAAGAAGTGGAGGAGGAGGAGAAGAAGGGAGAGAAAAGAAAAGAAAAGAAAGTTGGCTGAGCCTGGCTCAGGCTCTGAGGGGCTGCAGTTCTGCCTTAATCAGTGCCTCT